GTTAACTGACAGAAAAGCTTATTGAATACTTAATATTTGCAGCTGTATAAAATTACTTCAACTTTTTTTATGGTAAACTGGGAACTCAAAAAGCAAGTCCGCCATATTTGTCACGTGATATAAAATTCCCCATAACTTACTCATTACAAAACAACGCACAAAAGAACATTATTTATTGGCATGAAACGCCCATTTATCGCCACCAAGTACATACTTTGGTGGAAACAGCTGGTAATCCGCGTACAATACGATACGGCATGCGTAATTATTTGACAGCCTATGTATCAAGGCAGCTACCATTCGTCCGAACTGCAATATAAATTGGTGAGAGTAAAATGTGCGTTACTACTTGATAATGGTCCGAGAAGAAACGCATAAAGATCTGAAAGTCCGTGTATGTTTAGGCAACAGAAACAACTCTTTTTCTACAGTACGAAGTTGCTGGAGAAAGTCGAATAGTTCCGATTAAGAAGAAGCGACCATTTCTTCATGATAATGGAGTAGTAATTAATCCCAGTTTTTAAAAGTACTAAAGGTTACGGTGTTCCATTAGGGTCTGCACGATTTCTCTGAAAACGAAACCGTTCGATGGTGACAGTACGACATTATGATGGTGACAGTACGGCGGTACGATGGCAAAGCGCGACATAACATCTGCAAAGTTGACTTCTTTTAATGGAAAACTTATGTTTAAAAAAATGCTAAGCGAAATACACAAACTCGATGCTTTCTATAAAAAAAGAAAGGCAAGTATATCATTAATTCTGTACTGTTCTTTATCTCTTATCTACTGAGATATAAATAAAGAACCGGTCGTTCAGATTTACTCATGACCTATATGGAATATTAGTAGAATAATAGGGTAGAAAGTTTACCTCTTCTACTCGTAAAAAAGTGTGTCAATTTTGGTCTGCATTTCAGAACTAAATAATGACTAGTGAAATAGTTACAATGCTATTGATTGGTACAACTTTTATTCTACTAAACTTTATTTAAGAAGGTCAATATTAAAGCTTCAAAATCCGGCCTACTTTTGTCTTCAAATTAGTTTTCTTTTCCTCAGTATCACAGTATTGGGAAACCCTTTGACCTGTTGACCATTTACATATTGATTAATATACGTAATACTTGTATCCAAAAATAATTTATTTTTCTTAGTTTAATCATATTTTATTGCTAACATAGACGTGTAAATATACAAATAAACAAATTGATTTCGAAATAACAAATAGCAAAAAGGAAAAAGGTTGGGCCTAATTTCTTACAACATTAGCGATTGGCCCTCCCCTTTATTTTTCTGTAACAATTTATTTTGTTGTTTTTTTTTTGTTGTTGCTGTTGTTGTTGTTGTTTTTAAATAAAGACAGATTGACTATTGACTGATAAAAGAATGTCAGGTCTCTTGTGTTTTTCCCTGCTCATTTTAAGTGGTAGAAAGCTTGTGTCAAAATGCTTGTTTATTTTTTTTTTGCCTTATTACTGTGCTATTAATATGATTTTCTTAAATTCTGTTCATATGCAATGAATACATTCAATGTAATAAAAACGTAAATACAATCAAATATGTAAGTTGAACGAATAAGTAAAAGAAAACCTTCAAATTCATAATTCATTATTAAGAAGAAACTCTTAAAGTCCCTTCAGTTTGTTTTTAGAAAGACTTTTGTCATAAGAAAAAAAATTGAACATTATTAACTCATGGAGACGTACCAAAACAAGAAACTTCAAAATGGCATGGAATTATATTGATGAATTGTTTAAACTGCATAAATTATTTAACAATAAATCCTTAATTACAAGATTAAATATTTCCAGAGGTTGATCAAATAAAGAACCTAGATACTTGTTATCGACGCTCTTTAATCCATTACTAACCAAATAATACACTTTTCAATTTTCTAATTGTTTAAATAATATAACCACTAGTCCATTTTCTGTGTTGCATTTGACTTATTGACCATACACTTTTTCTTTAAATTGTTTGTTTTATTTAAATTTCAGGTCCAATTATTGTGTAGAACTTGTGAATGTAAGACCTTTCCGCATTTTTTTTCAAGAAAGTTAGACAAAAGTTGTAATCAGTATGAATAGTGGATATAATCTAAATAATATGTTTATTAACACCTTTTTACTTCTGCTTCTGTGTCACGGCATCGTACTTTCACAAGAAAATGGTATGTATTTTGCCATTTCTTTTTTTCATGACATTATTATATTTGTTTCAGTTAAGGTTCGAGCTGCAACGAATTGCCAAATTCTAAAACTAAATGAAATATTAAAACACCATTCGCTATTCAGCCAGTAATTATTTTGATTTTTCCCCTAAAAAAAGATTGAAATATGGGGATATTTAGCGTGTTAAGTGTATACGGTTTATTTATTTTACTGAGCTTTTTAGAAATAGTTATTTTTATTTGGCTTATTTTACGGGTAGATCTACACATATATCAATACATGTATATTTAACTTTTTCAGGAAATATTGAAAAAGAATATAAAACAAACAGATTTAGACGTGCAGTGTCAGTAAGTATATATAAATTATTCTTTTGTTGTACGAGTTTAGATTATGCTTGGAAATATGTAAAACTTTATTTCAACACATGACGCAACTCTTTTTCAATGAAATGTAATCATCACATATTTATATATGTAACAAAATTAAAGAAAGGTAGAATTATCTAATATCATTGGTTATAACTTTGTATAACCATGTATACCCATAAAATTTGTCAAAAGTCTATTATTATGTTTTAGACCTACAATTTCTTTGGAGGAAAATATATATTTATCATTTCATAACAGCCGTGTATAAGATAATATACACGTCACAGCTATCCAATGAAAACCGACGTTACAGAATTACAAGTCATATCTATAAAGAAGTCAGGACAGGGTACCTAGATTGAGAAATTAATTAGTTCGGACTTCTTGATTAAAAAAACACAATTCTAGGCAATTCAAATCCTTTTATACAAGGAGTAATCTTGTTAATAGCATATACAAGAATATACATATATGACATACATGTACTTTAAAGAAAATAACAAGTCAAAGTCATTTCTTATGAAAGTCTATCTAGCAATTTATTTAACCCCAACCCAACCAAACAAACGGCAGATATACATGTACATGAGATTCAACAGTACTAAAGCATTTATCCTCTAAAGTTTGTATTACCCTAATGAAATCATTGGTTCTTTAACTATAACACAATCAAGGAAGAATATAACCACAAACACGTAATGGTATGAGGACCTTTCTGATTATTTACTGTCTCGGGTTTATTATCCCCTATATTGTAGAGTACTAATGTAGAACCAATATCAAGTTAATATAACATGTCCTTTTAATCTTTCCACTTACTAAAAGTACAACAACACTGCTGTAAGGTTGCTAGTAAAACTAATACATTTTATTGTAATATTTGTACAAGTTTAATACTTTACATTTCATATTAAATGACATAGCCAGGTCTTTAATTTGTAAAAAAGGCAAAGTAACAATACATTTTGATATATCACACAAGAAGCATGCTCTGGTCAAATTTATGAAAATCACTTAAGTTGATAATAAATCCGTCCTAGGAATGACGTGACAGTCGCCCACGAACAACTTAACTTACTGTGGAGGGGAAAACGTGTTTTTGTCGTATGCATGTAAAATCTAAAATGAAACAAATAACTTTAAATAAAGGAATTAAAAGTATATATCTGAGCATGCCAACATTATGTAACATAAAATATGTTCATTAAATTTGAAATATTATAAATCAATTTGTAATCATTAACAAATGCATAATTTTAAGACTGTGGAGCAAGGTCGTGACTCAATTGAATTTCAAATGGATAACATACACTTTAAAAGTGAACTAAGCAATTGCTCACATAATTAAGCATAGAAATAAATATATAATTAACAAAATAGTTCTCATGTAAAATATAAATTATTTATCAAATGCACTCTGTGAAGATCGGTGGAATGTTCAGTCAATTTCTGATGATTGCTTTCTACAAAATAACTTTTCGTTCTTTATTCAAACAATTGTCCTTTGGTCTGATTGGTATAACTTTCCACGAACTATCCAAGGTAGAGCAGAACGCACACTTGATGGTAGACAATGACGAGTGGAACTTTTGCAAAGGTAAAGATAAAAAAGAAGGCAGATAAAGAAACATCTAGAAATATGTTAAAGGAGGGATTTTATCGACAAATATCTGTTCAAATCGGCCGCTAGCTAGAAACTGAGCACAATGTCCATACTTGTGTAAACCATTCGTGCGGAAAAAAACAAGGCATAGACAAAATTATAACGAATATGATTGTTATCGTCACCGGCCTCTCCATTAGACGACAGTGCATTGTGTCAAAGAAAAAAAATCATTTATTTTAAATATGCTAAATAATGTATCAGTCATAAATTTATAATTTGCCTCAAAATGAATTCAAAGTTCTTTACTTTATTTGTCGTTGTACTATCTAAACGACAGGTGTCTGGTACAAAAATCAGACCATTAAACCCACGAGAATGTACTCTGTCCGTGAAAAAGTATGAATTAGATACAGTTCTTATGAACTGTTTTATACATGTTAAGTAGAATACTTACCAAATTTACTTTACGTATTTTATATTGATATGTTAATATTTTTGTATAGATTTCCATCACTGTTTTCAAAATTTATTATGTTATGTAAAACTTTATCCTACCATTTTGTTTTGATGGCGATGATACAGCCATGGATAACCAGCATTTTGCATTTCTTAAGTGATCTTACTGAGTCAATTATATATGAATAATGACTAAAGGCAACAAAAAAATATGCCTGAATCTTATTTTTGAGAATGACAATAAAATGAAATAAAAATGCGAAAATAAATCATTAAATATATAAGGGTTAAGTGGAATAAAGACATTCAACATCACATTTTATGATGCCAATATGTTAAAAATTGTATTTAGAAATTCTATTTCCCAAAACATTGTATCTATTTTAGGAAACTGATCTCAACATAACGCTAGAAACGACTGGGCACTGGATAAACGTCGCCGATATTCGAATATCCGACAAAATTCCCTTCAACTTAACAATCTCTGTACCTGTTGGAACGTTCAACATGACTTCAGTAGTATTCACAAGTGACGTTATATCCATCTGTTCAATGAGCGTTACCAGTGTCGGTGCAAGCTTTGTTGGAGTTCAACCCAGCGATTTCTCAACAACCTTTAAAAAGAACGCTACAACTATGAGTCAGCAGCCATATGACGTAAGATTAACACTCTTCTGTTGATGTCAAGCCCACAAAGGCAAAAACTTGTTAGTCAAAAGAATGTAGGCTTACTAAATCTACTGTAGAGCTATAATTTTTTTATATTTGAATATCATAGATGTAGATCTATCATGCATTAAAAATTGTTTTTAGTTCAGAACGAAATGTTCTTTGTTTCATTTTTTGGATGTTCTAAGAGTTATTTATTATTTCCATTAGTTCTCATCTAAAATTCACTCAAATTATTATTTATTACAGAAATTGTATGCGCGTATTGACTTTGGATTGATTGAAAATGGTGGCAGTGAAAACGAAATTGTCATCCAATTTGAAGCCATTGTTGTGAACTCGTCACAATTTATCGACGCTTCAACGTATGACGTCACAGCAAATGTAACTATTGATTCATACACAGCAACGGCCGTTGTTTCATTTACTGGCGTTGTACAAGATTTGGTATGTTGGTTTAGTTTATACGAATTTATTTTAGTTCGATTGTGTCGGAAGCTATATGCTGATTGAAACACTCTCGAATCCGTTCCTGGAAACATCCAGTTCTAAACAATGAGTGTATAGTTTCTTGCTTAAGGAAATAACGGTTTGCCCCTGACTAGGTTTTAACCCACGCCGCTAGCAATATTCAGATTACTTGTCCGACACGTTAACCTCTAGGCCACGCCGCCACCTAAATGTATGTCACCTGGTATCTTAACCACTTGCCCCTCACCGCTGTGGGTTCGAATCCCGACAAGGACTTTCGATTCTTTCATGTGGGGAAGCTATCCAGCTAGCTTACGGAACGTCAGTGGTTCTACTCAGGTGCCCGTTCGTGCCTGAAATAATGCACGGAAGGGCACCTGAGGTCTTCCTCCACCAGTAAAGCTGGAACGTCGCGATATGACCTATACTGTGTCGATGTGACGTAAAACCCAAAACAAACAAACAAACAAACAAACCTGGTATCTTGGTTTTACTTATAGGTAAATTCAATTTCGTTAAAACACTCAGTTTTTATCGTTTGATATATAATATATGAATGCTTAACTACAATATCAACAGCTTTAAAATTGTCATGGAATTTCTGATGTGTCCGGCATTTTTTACCAGTCAGCAAAACATTTGTTTTTTACCAATTTTATTTTTAAGTTTTAAGGAAGTTTATTAAAAAACAAGAATTTTGTGATTACATTTCCCCTCAGAGTATAATATTTTATACGAATGATATATTATTTCAATGTAAATTATCAATCTGTACCTTCAAAATATTTGACCACCAATTATAAAAAATATATCATATTGCCTAAACTTTGCATGTTTATATCTATTTCAAGTTGTTTTTGTTCATATCTATAGTGGTCCATTACGCCACCTCTTGCAAATATAAGCAGCCCTGGTCCTGTTGTCATTGGTGACATTGCAAACTGGACAGTTACGCTGGACCTCCAAGACGCCGTGAACAAGGTAGAGGTGCAGGCTTGGGTGAATGGTACTTACGAATATCCCGCATGCAACATGGTCATGGGGAATATAGGTTAATATGTTGTATGAATACATTGGTATATGTAAAAATAAGCAGCTTTATGAATACTAATCTAAGTCTAAATAAGAATACTGTTACTAATATATAACAAATAGCCGGGTTGAAACCTGGAGGAAAGGCACAATACATTAAAGAAGATACTTTTGAATGTTTGAAATGATTTTCAAGCAGAAGAAAGAAGGTGAGAATCGGGTTATTAGCTCAGATTTGTCAACTCTTTTTATTAAAGATTTGAGAGCAGCACTATCTCTCACGCCACTTAGCATCGTCTAAATTCTAATTTAATATTTAACACATAATGTACTGGAATCAACAGAAAAGATAACAACATGAAGATGAAGCATCGTTATGTTTTATTAAAACACATAATATTTAACGAGAATGGAAAGTCGGACAAACTAAACATAAAATGAGCCGCGTTACGACAAAACCAACATAGTGCGTTTGCGACCAGCATGGATCCAGACTAGCCTGCGCATCCGCGCAGTCTGCTCAGGATCCACGCAGTTCGTCTACAAACCCTTTTACAAGTAGAGAAACCGAACGCGAACAGCATGGATCCTGATCAGACTGAGCGGATGCGCAGGCTGGTCTGGATCCATGCTGGTCGCAAATGCACTATGTCGGTTTTGTCATGACGCGGCACAGATGTATAATTTTTGTATAACAATGATTAGATCATAAATTCATGCATATTCAAGGTCCAGCATATGCTTGCATTGATGAGACAGTAGGGGATACGACGAAATCCAACGGAAGCATCTTCTTTGAAATTCCAACGTTGATCAATACAGGTATACATGAATTCTTTTAAATATCATTATTTATCTATCGATTTTAGTTTTCGTTGGAGTTTAAGTAACACCGACACTATACAAGTAAGATGTCAACTACTGTACCTAGCTTTATAGCATTTAACTTGTTGAGGAAGACATTGGATACACATGCGTGAATTTTCTGAGATTTGAATGGAGAACAAACGTCAATGTACAATCTGGATAGCTCCATCACGTCATCTTTTACATCCGTTTCTTCTTTACTTTCTTAAGACAATGCCGTACCTTCTCGTTCTAAATGTCATGATTAACATTAAATCATTTACAAGATGATTTTAAACGTTACTTACAGGTGCAATGTCTTGCAATGTACAATGACGCGAAAAAAGAGTTAAAATCAAATTTAAAATGAACAATTTAGCTTGCATTTATATTTGAAATCTTATTTCAGTTGTTATCTACATGTTTTTTTATTTGCCTTTTAAAGCAGGCATATTTTATTTTCATTGCAGAGTTTAACGAGAATGTGACAGTGGCCAACGGAACTTTACTTGAAGTTATTGTCACTGCACGCGTGCCATCTCACGTCTCACCGATTGATGATTTGTTTCTAAATATAGAAATCTATCTAGATGACAAGCTAGTTTTTCTCCTCTCAGAAATAATGGACACTTGGATATCCAGCTTACCAGCCCCGGTGAGTAATATTGTTTTGGTTACTGCCATCGCCACAACATTACTGAAAGAAAACCACTTATTACTTTGTAAAAAAAACCTCAGAATTTGTAAATTCAAATTGATCTGTATCATGGTATGACTTATTTCAAATAAACATTTAGGAGCTAACAGAAGGAAGGAAATGGTGGGTTTTAGTATTTTTTGATCTGTCACTTTTTGCTTTTACAATTAGTGTTAGTAGTAATTTCCAGATCATGTTGAAGTTAATCCACTGTAGTATATCATATTCACAATTACCATTTTGGTGTTCAAGTATTTCCTGAATTAAACAGTTTTCAAATATATGTTATTTGTAAATACAATACTTACTTATTGTCTATCCATTTTGTTTCAAGGCTGGAACTCCAAGCATTTTAATTAATGCTATGAACAGTGTCACGACGCTAGTACCGGGATCAGCCCTTGTGTTTATTGTTGATGTTGTAACTCCGCCTGATTCGGTTACGTTCTATAATATGACGATAACAACTGACCCTAACATGGCCACAATATGTGACGTTCAGATGATGAAGATAGGTGACAACTTGTGCATGGATGACTTTGTAGCGTCTTCATACACATCTACCACAAGTAACGCTTACTTTGACCAAGTAAACGTAGAAATTGGAAGCGTACCGAATCTGAATAGAAGCGCTGAGGTGTCTAGCGAGGAAAATAATGTAAATAGTTATAAATGAAGAATTAAAGCTACATTTATATTATTTGAACGATTGAGTAACATTACTTGTTGAACTAGTGTGGATGTATAAATGATGTATCTTGGTGATGGTAATAATGGGCATTCTGGCATTAAGTTAACTGATTCATATGTTCTAATCATGGTACTGAATCTTATTTTGAATAACACACAATCATCAAAAAACAATTGACGACTATTCAATTGATGTATATGTAGTGTTTATTATACCATATAAATAACACTCTCCGAAAAATTTAATTTACTATTTGGTTTAAACATATTTATTTTAGCTCGATTGCGAAACAAGTTCTTGCAACTTATATTAATCACTTTCGAGTCCGCTTCCTGGAACCAACCAGTACTGGTGTCATATAAAGAAACAATTTACTATTTGATGTCATTAAATGTTAAAATTAACGAAAATAAGACAATAATTCTTTTTTTCAGGCCAACTTAATTGTTGTTGTGATGAGTTTATCTGATATATCTGATTCTGCTTCTTCGTTTTTTTCTTTTGATTGATTGTACGTTCTGATATGCTACGAGTACCTTATCTTTTAGGTCCAGTTTGAAGTTGCTGTTTGCGTACCCGACTATGCATCTGTTAACGTGGATGACGTATTGACGTTAACAGTTGACGTCTACTATGGTCCATCAAACGCAAAAGTGACAGATTCGTTGCAATACACAATAGCATCTACTCTTAATCCATCCTTGGTAAGCTCATAACACAATTATTATGATTAATTGCGCAAACTGATATGCGAGTTGTATTATTAATATAGTAAGTGGTAAAGATTTTGTTATCATTTTTATATCTGGTCACTTGCTAACAGCCACATATTCTGTTCGTATCATAACTATGAATATCAATTGACTTTTTTTATTCTATCAATACATCTAAATTCGATAAGAATTGCATCCCAATTAGATATACGAGGTACATCGGCCATTTAATCTTATGTAAGTCATTAATAGAGTCCACTTCGAAGCTTTGATTATCAATAATAAAGGAATAAACTTCTAACTTATATGTTTATACTTCACAGACGGTTTTCTCCACACACATAGAATCTGGCAAGAGTTGTTATAAAACATGGTTTTGAAATATTTTTGACATATATTACCAATAACATTGATATAAAATACTCTTTTAAATCGAACACATTTTGAAATATAAATTAAAAATGTTTTGTATATAATTATTTAATTCTGTGCTTTATCTAACAATGTAATTGCAAGTGTTATTTTCTCTTCTTTTCTTCCAGGCAACAGGAAATATTTCTTTTTCAAACTCTTCTACCGTATTCGGATTCATAGGACAAAGGGTTGACGTAAATGTGACAGCGGTTTTCGAACAGACCACTGACTCATTTACTATAAACATAACTTCTCCAGTCTTAAATAACAACACTTTAGGTAATCAAGAACGCAATAGTTACAGTATTAAAACGCAATAGTTACAATATTAACATATTATATTTTATTACTTGCAATATACAGTTCATTTACATTTGTTCTATACAATAAAAACATATCATTTCTTATACATGAAGTGTATTCAATTTTCTTAATAGTGTGACATTAGCCTTACAATATGGATAACTTTTATAAAATTTTATGGATATTACTTAATAAATAACACTTATTGGCATATCATCTAGAAAATAAACACACCGAAACTATTTTGACAATTGTGGTAGATTTTGTACTCTCACTTATGAATTGATAGATCCTTACTCTGACCTTTCATTTGAACAACAATAAATTTAACCACAAACATTGATATGTGCTTTATTGTTAGTGAAATTCTTTTTGTATCCACTAATCTGATAATTAGAATGGGATAGGTCAGGGATCTATGCATTGTCCGATTTAATCAGATTTTCAAATGTTCATTAATATATTTAGATTTTTCATTTGTTTAAATGAGTAATTTACCTTATATTTGATGTATTAACTATAATGTACTTGAATATATATTTTTTGTACACAGTTTATTTAGAATCAGCATTAATCAGTCGAGTTGGAGAAATGTTATATTGTTTGGAGAATAGAACTTTGACTTTGCTGTCAAACGAAACCGTTTCCTTTTCACAGATAAACTCTCTTGTTTATGAGGTTGGACCAGTAACACATACAGGTATGTAGCATTTTGTATTGCTTATTGTAATTTATTTTATTTTTATCTTTGTCCATTGTTTGCCTTTTAAGGGTGCATACAATCTTTATATTTGGGCCATTTCCCGCTATTCATAGAATTGAAGGCTAGATGATAACCACAGTATGTACGGGTCTGCCGCGAAAGTTTCGGAATTCTTAAACACCATATCATATTTGTATGTTGAATTATCCTTAACTCTTGCTAGCTTTCGTCTATGAACGTATTAAATGTCAGGCCCAAGCTGTGATTGTATCATTTTCAATTGAGACGTGTTGGACGAGCTTTAAAATTCCAATTCCATTTATTTTATTCAAATAAGAATGTAAATGTTAAATGTATCTTTTGATGAAGAGAATACATTCTAATAGCCATTTTATATCATTTTATATTTCATTCTGGTCATGAATAAGAATTTCTTTATAATGACCATCACTGGAAGTAAGCTTTGTTCCCGCCAAAAGTTGATGTATACTTTAATTGCCTCCCTGGTGTCATGATGATTTTCATTTAAAGTCTTGCTTATAGTACTGTTTAGTTGAAATGCTAAAAAGGTGGTGCCGGAAAAAATACTAGTATTTTAATGTGTATGTTTTTGTCATTTGTTCTAAGGCATGACAGAGAGGAACCCATTTGTAAACGATAATTCTACTGGAGAGAATGAAATTACATTTACAATATCTGTTTTGGTTGCTGACAATGTTGCAAATGTACAAGGCTCTATAATACCAATTAACTTGAAGCTTGAAGGAGTGTCTGGAAATGTTGCTTATGGTACAGCCAATATTGAAGTGCAAATAACAGGTGTTGAAACTCCAATTTTAATTTCCCAGTTTACAATGGTGGACTATATGAATAAAACCTCAGGGTAATACTTTTCGTTGATCTACTAATATCATAATTCATGTTGTGGTTTTAAAACAGGCAAAGACGATTATTCTAGATGAGTTCTATGAGGAATTTTCGTAGAAATATGATGTTAACATTTTATTAACCAAGAGAATAAGAATTATTATACTCTACCCACAATAATATGTTTTGCAAAATGACAAATTTGTGTAACCCGATTTGTTATACTTGTAAACAACATTGTTCATTCTTTTTACAACAAGAAACAGGTCGGTCCTATTAATTTTGAAACATGACTGTTGCTCAAACGCCTTGTTGTATGGAATAAAATGTACATGTATACTGTTTATTTCTTTTAACAAAGTTAGTTTGTAACATGTATAATAATATACTATTTTAGGGACAATGTGACCTGTCACGTCACTCTATATCTGGATGAAAATTCAACGGCCCATGCGCAAGATGTACAAGTCCATGTGTATACGCCCTATTACATTGGTTTCGGCAATTTATTTGATGTGGAAGATGCTGTTGTTACTCACATATCAAATTTGCCGGATCCAGGAATGAAATTTTCGGTAAATGTATACATATATATTAATATCTCAACTGACAAACTTAATGATATACAATATATTCTACTACTACTAATTACTCGTACATATACATATGGTATTTCATAAGGAAAACAATTTGAGGCATGTTTTATTATGATAATGAAGTACAACACATACTATATTGTAAAGTTAAAGTTTACTCAAATTGCATATCTACTGTTTATAGTTTATATTCATTATTGTAGTAATTTTGAAAAATAATACGTCCAAAAGACCTGTGTGAAAGAAATATGTTTGTAAATTTCCCGAAAAAGAAATGGTACAAGCACAAAATCATTCCTAAAACGTTACAATATGAAAAACCTTATTTCTTAGGGGAATATTTTATTCTGCTCACTTTTGTTGTCAACAAATACATTCTTAGGACACCTTTCATATAACATTTTATCCTGTTCATATCTTATCCTGTTCACTCTTGTTAATAACAAATACATTCTTAGTTACAAGTTTTTTTAAGAATCAACCATTAATTATTGAAACATCATAATTTTACTGTTTATAAATTTTATAGCAATATGCCGTTGGATATAGCTTTATACCCTTTAAAAACTTTACACCTTACGTTTAATAAAACTCTTGTTGTGAATAAATTATAATTTTAATTTTGTAAAACGCATTTTGTAGCATTATGTCGTTGCTGTATTTATTCAAACATCACTTCTGTTAATGTTAAGCCTATATACAACAACTATCAAAGATAAAATGGTGAAAGAACATTTCGATGATAAATGATGACTTTTTTGTTAACTATTATACCAAATTTAAATGTTATATATTACAATAATAACATTTTACAATATTTGACATATTTAGTTCAAATTCATCCTTTCATTTATAGATTGGGGAAATAGATTTCCAAGATTTTGTGACATTCTCTTTCACACTCGTTCTGGATCCGGCGAGACAAATGCCAATGGGACTAGATTATGTTGAAACAGTCATACCAGCTGATGTGACAAGTAGAGGGGCCATACGGGGGGACAGAGCCGACACTGGTATCGTGCCCTCTCAACTTTTTGTATCCGAGTTTGGCTTTAGTACAGGTTTGTTATGCATGCACCAGTTATAAAATTAGTTACTGAAGGTGGGCAAATTGGTGAAGTCTTGTGTAAATAGTTTTTTATGCGCATCTACTCTTACATTTCTGAAAAGGTTTCAATAAAACTTAAATAAACAACAATATCTTGAAAAAAGATGTTTGAATTGGCAATACATTATTATGTATTAGTATTCGATTTTTTTAGGTTTTATTATTTCTGGAGGCTTTTGCGACATTTAATTTCTCGTATTATTCTAAAAAAATTACATATTATATATAAAAAGTTGCAAATCTAGTACGGTGGCTATACAAAACGCTTGGAAATTATTTATTTGCATGTTAATGCTGTTTGAACATGTTCAGAAACTCCTGGATCTATTGGAATGGAAAATGGAATTATTCAAGATTGTCAGATATCGGCATCTTCATACCTCGACACAAATAGGCCGGAGGAGGCGAGACTGAACGTTGGGTCTGGATGGAAACCATACGTGAGAGGAAGTCCATTTTGTGATAAAGAATATTTGCAGGTAGGTTGGTTGCAAATGATGTATTTTATATCAATACATTATAAAAATAATTGCCAAATAGCTCTAACTACGCTTAAGTTTGGAAATATCTTCCCGTTTTATTGTAAAACATGCATGGGTTATGATACTTTATGCATGAAATTTGATTTCCGTCTGATTTTTGTTAAAGAATATGCCATGAAACGCCGGTTAAGACCTAAAATGAATGCCTTTACGTTAGATAAATAATATTCGGAAAATAAATATGGCCTGTACCGATGTGGTATATGAACTTCACAATTTGTCCAGATAAGTGTGATCTGTCCTATAAGTTACACCGTATTCTGTTTTGTTTCAGTAAAAGGTGAAAGAGCAAAATTCCATATTTGGTAAAGTATGGCATGGAATTAAGAATTGCTGTGGGGGTGATTTTTGTTGTAAATCTTATAATGGTCGTGTTTCAATGAAGAGTCAGGTTGAAAAAACTAACAGCTTTTAACATGTTTGAACTGAAATAATCTTCTAAAGGGTAACTCTAAAACAATAATTTGATGTTGTATGATATATGAACCGCGTCTTGACAAAACCAATGTAATGCGTTTGCGATCAGCATGGATCCAGACCAGCTTTCGCATCCGCACAGTCTGATCAGGATCCATGCAGTTCGCTATCAGTTTCTCTAGTTGTTATAGGGTTTGCATGCGAAAAGCATGGATCCTGATCAGACTGCGGCTGCGCGGATGCGCAGGCAGGTCTGGATCCATGCTGGTCGCAAACGCATTATGTTGGTTTTGTCGTGACGCAGCTCATATTTATTTTCCTTTGCAGATAAACGTCGGAACGCCAGCATATATAACTGGATTGCAGGTCCAGTCGACAACAGATAACTATCAAGATATCATTACGTCTTTCAGCTTACAATATAGTGATGATCGCATAACATGGTATGACGTAACAGAGGATGACGGTGTTTCTCAGAAAGTAAAATTTAATACTTATTTCAAACGTTATTCATTATTCAAATTATAAAAACAGAGTAGTATATAATTGACTTAAGTATTTAAATGTTTATGAGCAATATTGCGTCTATTTTTGTTCTTCCTGAAAATATCAAGCTTTGTTCATTAATTTGATATAATGATGTTATGAAGTAAAGATATATTTTGTTGTTGTATATTCATATACTCTTAAGCGACTGAGAAACGCAATAATTTAAATGTTACATTTTTATTTCAAATAAATAAATAGGTCACTAGCTAATATAATCTAATGAAAATTTTTTGTAATATGCTGTTACTTTTACGTATGATTTTTCAATGAAACTGTCATATGTCAGCATTATTTAATTCATAATTCTATAACCATTGCGTTTCTTTAGAAACAAACTGGATCTTGTATTTGTGTTGAAAATGATGCAAATTATATGACGTTTTTGTGATCAAATGTTAAATAGATTTAAAATCCAATGTTATAGAGAATGTATTTAAAGTCAAATACAATGTTGAGGAAAAGGTATAGAAATCAGATAATAGAAATCAATGCTACAGAGAATGTGTTTAAAGTCAAATCATTAGTTAAGGAAAAGACATTTAAAATCCGATCTCAAGAATAATGTGTTAACATTGCAATGCTATGAAGATTGTATATGAAATCGAATGTTTTGGAGAACGTATTTTAAAACGAAATCAAATGTTAAGGAAAATGTTTTTTAGAATCCAATACTTAGCTTTGCAAATAAGTTGGTGTCGGTATGTACAAATGAATTCAAAGCATATTACAGGTGTTTGTTGTCAGTGTCACATCTGGAGGTTCTGTTAGCGACATATATGACTTTGAACTAACTGAAAACGAACGCTTCAATGCTCAATATATCAAGCTCTTATCATGGTCATGTTTAGTTGGTATACGCTTGGAACTTAAAGGACTCAAACAAACAGGATCAGCTGGTAGGTGCACGAAGTAGTTGATTAACAATTCTATGAAATATTGTCCAGAATATACCATATATTTTATAAATACGGATGGTTTATAGCAATACAAACTAAATGTAGATTTGAATGTTTACAAGTTCTAACTTCTATTTTTTTTTATATAAATCGCTATATTTTAAAGATATTGTTCGATAAGTGGTTGTTGGTACATTAATTGTTGGCCTTAGAGACACTTTAATTCAGAAAAACAAAACAGAAATAATTCATATAGTTAGGAAATTCAATACGTAGAACTTTATCAAATCGTCTTTCATAAAGTATGATTTACAATTCTTTAACATCGTAACACCGCTGAGCCTAAGCACACATATTTCCCAACTTTTGATTCATCATAGACCCACGCATTATATAAAAGATGTGGGACTCCTTGTTGATGAAATATGGAACGCTATATTATATAAATATGTCTTTTTTCAATATTCTATGTCATGTGATGTGGGGTTGTGTAAGTTCGCTAAAGTATAGCTCCGAAACTTTATTTTTTTGTACAGAATTATTTCAATACACGGGTGCTGTCTATGGTCACTGTCTGAAAACTAACTAGTAAATTTAAAACAGGGCCATTCTAATAAAGAGACCCTGGTGCAAATAATATGGTTGTTGAAAATTCAATTTAGGTGTTTTACCTTATTTACATAACAAACTATTGATAAAATGTTCAGATCATTTTCTCACCTTTATTTATATGACAAACAATATATATAATTGGTGAACAAATATTTGCAGTTGATTGTTCAACGTTAGCAGACGGTGTCCCGCTTGTAGCAGAACAAAGCTATATTATGGACGTGGCTACAGGAAATATGTTTGTGTGTGGCCTTGAGGCCGTTGAGTAAGTTCTGATGTCATTATTGATTTCTTATTCACCCTCCTGGAAACGAACTTGCTGGACCTTTGCAATTGTGCTCAGTCTGGCCAAGCGCTTTACTGTGGAGGCAGCTTCTTCTGTTTTTGTTCTTTGATATCGATATCCAGTATGTTTAAACTCAGAGCTGAACACATTCATTTTATAACCTCAGCAGGTAAAGTGATCAAGATATACTATGAATAATATTTGATATACAGAAAATAGAATGAAATGCTTCATATAGTTAAAGTATATTGACATACACGTTGACACACAGTACATATTTAGAAATTTCGCAGTTGATTTGCTTTGATACATTTTCTCAAAAGCATAACAATTCATAAACACCAAAGATACTTATTTCGTAGACCTAACTAATACATGAATTAAGTTTGGGTAATCGTCAAAAGTGTACAAAAATTGTATACACATGAATGTATTCACTGTTATTTACGTATATTCTTAAAATGTCTTTATCTCTTGCTTTGCTCGATCTTCGTGTGTATTATCATTATAAACGATGTGGGACATTTTGCACCTTAACACGTGCCCTGTAATATTTTACATATTTTAAATGCAGCGGAAATGTTGTATGCTCGGCTTCCGATGACAAAGGGATAACGTGGCGAGGTATCATATCTACATAACTTAGATCATAGCTGGTGTACTTTCACCATTTGCTTGCTGTAGTTCCTTTTATTTCTTTAAATTATCCATAGATTAACTTCTTTTTTACCTTCTGATTACTAGAAATTTTTTCGCAACGTAACGTATCCGACGGGGAAACATGGACTTTCCATGCATTATACATGAAGTATGTCTTGATTTAAAATTTAGCATTATTCATAAAACATGTCTTTATTTAGAATATATCTAGTGTCTAAAACATTTTTTTCTGAACCTTTACCACACTGCTAAATATCTTTTATGGACTTTTCCATATTTCAATCTAGACAAAACCATTCATCCTTTTAGGGAGAATTTCGTCAGCAGACTTAGGATTTACTTATTAATAAATTTATAATTTGAAATTTTCAAATCATCAAATGGCTTGGTAGCTAATGCAAATTTGATCATTCAGCCAATCATTTATGTTAAAAGTTAACGGGTGCTATTAGAGAATGTACCTGCAACAAAAATATTTGGTCAACGTTGGTGCGATAATATGCATACCAAATTGTGAAATTTTGTTTTCATACATCATCGATTGTTTCCTTTGCCCTTCTTTTTTAGGTTCTAGTACATTTCTCTGATTCCAATGACGTTCAGATTCGCATTTTCCGTTCTTTTCCTTAGAAGCTAAGATATAGTCTTGTATTATTGAAATAAAAAATTACTAGACTACTGTGTTTTAATAATGTTATTGTTAAATATAATTTTAAAGTCTCTTCATTTGAACAAGCTTATTTTAGAAGATTTTCATAACAATTTGTTCCAATGCTATATATATAAATAATGGTATTAACGATTTCGAAATAAATGTATGATTATAAATCATGAAAAAAAGGTTATTAACCTTATATATTTTTACACTTTTTCTCAAATAACTTACCTTACTCAGTCTTTAAAACGACCAAAAAACTTTATAACAGTTTTTGATTATGTTGCTACTATTACTTTTGGAGCTGCAGCTGCGATTTTAAACAAACTGACCCGTTTGTATATCAACTTATATTCTGTTGTAGAAGTTGATGACAACGTGGCAAACGTCATTGCTTTAATCAGCAACACGACTCTAGTGATTGGAGTGGCTAGCGACAATGTAACGTATCTAGTGAGTGAAGATGGTGGGCTTACTTGGGGTTCATTAACCGACGAGTATTTTACTGAACTGCGGGCTATGACGGGGTATGAGTCATAACTTACAGTAGATCTAATGATAAACTTATTAAGATTTTTTGTATAAAGTAATTTTATAATTTTATAGTGCCTTTTTAGAATTTAAACTCGAAATGACTAAATATCGGTAACAAGGTGCCTAAGGTGTCAAGCTCGAGCGTGTGAGACCATGGGTAGAACCAATGGCAATACCGAAGCTGACTTTGAGGCGGACTGGATTTGAAATTGAATCAAATTCGGCGTCCTTGATGTCCAAAACTCAGTTACGGAGGCCCAGAAAAAGATACTTAACATAGAATGCAGTTATATTGCAGATTCGGCTGACAATTAAGCATCGAACTATTACTGTTAAGCATTGGGTGTCCTTTTTTAGATTATTCGCTCGAATAATTTTGTAATATTACATTTTTTTAGTTAAGTTTCTTATCCCAATACTTTTTTTACAATTAAACTTTCTTGTGATAGGTTTGCAGCTCGCTGTGTTGTGTTTTGGGCATCAATTGCATGCAATATATTTTTCTTCTTTACGCATATCTTGTCAATGTGTGTTTTTAGATACACGGAATTTTTGAGCTTCCCTTACGAGGACACTCGAGGGGATTCTTACAACAACATATATGCAGCATACGGAATAGATGGTCCTGACACACTTTCTATAACAGGTACAATTCCTATATGATATAGTTACTATGAAAATACTTTATTCCAAGAATATCACTCTTACATTAAATGCACGCTTGCAGATTCACTTAAGCATATTTTTACCATTTATTTATTCTGATGTTTATTTGTTGTTGTTGTTTTATGAAATTAAATCCTAATTCGAAAGGATCTTAGAATTATATTAATGTTTATTAATTCAGATTAATATTTTAGTATTGCTGAAAATGAAAAGCAGCAACTTGGTTCAAGTTGATAAATGAAACTTATTATTTCGCACATTTAATCATTATAATTGTGCCGCGTCACGACAAAACCAACATAGTGCGTTTGCGACCAGCATGGATCCAGACCAGCCTGCGCATCCGCGCAGTCTGATCAGGATCCATGCTGTTTGCTTCAAGTAGAGAAACTGATAGCGAACAGCATGGATCCTGATCAGACTGCGCGGATGCGCAGGCTGGTCTGGATCCATGCTGGTCGCAAACGCATTACGTTGGTTTTGTCATGACACGGCTCAGTCATCTTTTTTTTTCATTTCATCAGGAACTATCAGTGGTATGGCTGTAAAAGATGGCGGCAGTTGGGGTGATACCGCGTGGTGGGGGACGGAGGATTGGGATGCTCTTTAGTGATTTGACAATATACATTTCTTGACAAAAAATTTTCGAATGTTATTTTACTATGCTACTGTAATATTGATCGTGTATAATGTATAACTGTGTATGGACTTTATAAAAATCAAGGATAGATGATTGTTTAGCGGGATTAAAAGGGTTTAAAGTTTATTTTGAGGTAATTAGGTTTCTACTGTACTCTTACTTTTTTCGTGTCTTAAAGGAAAGCTATAAATAATGTAAGGTTATAATGGTATTGTCGGCTTGTAGTACATGTTTTAGTACATGTTTTATTTCTTTATATATATTTGACATATACATCATGTTAATTACCAACCTCAACGCATGATTATAACAATTTAATGTGCAAACACTAAAACACTTTTATTAATTTATGTCCAAAGGTTTAGGTTTAAATAGTATATTTATTAAATAAGGAGTCTATTCGCTGTTCCAGGCAAAATATAACAGTTGTTGCGACGAAAATGCCGACGATCCCTGCTGTACACCGGAAAACGCAAAAGCATATATCACTCCAATAGAAAACGCAAAAGCATGTATCACTCCAGTAGAAAACGCAAAAGCATGTATCACTCCAATAGAAAACGCAAAAGCATGTATCACTCCAATAGGAAACGCAAAAGCATGTATCACTCCAATAGAAAACGCAAAAGCATGTATCACTCCAATAGAAAACGCAATCACTCCAATAGGAAACGCAAAAGCATGTATCACTCGCATTCTTAAGCACGCTTACGAAACTTAATTTTAAATTGTTATCAGTTACGACGACATCATATACACAGTTACATGTACTTCACAAAATATTTTTGAACTTTACAAACGTAGGTTATATTGGTACATTTCCTTTACTTTGAAAGAAGTTGAACGTTTTTTTTTTCTTGTTTACAACCACGTTGTATTAAAGTGCTTGCTTGTAAATATCATTTATGTTATTTTAAACAATAAAAGAATCTGCATGCAACTTCTAATTATATATTATGTTGGTAAACCCCTAGTCGGATTTCTGACTTTTAAGACGTTGTTTTCTAGTTTGCTACTTGACAAAAATAAAATATGGTTTATCCAATCACTGAATGACTGTTTTAGCAGAACAAGGGTCCGTATTTCCGTATAATATGTGTCTAGATACGGCCCCTGCTGTTGTATTCATACTTTTAATCGAATTCATGTCCAACCGATTTGAATAAAACCTATCATGCAGTTTCAGATGCAGGTGCATACCGTATTTATCTCGCCAGTTTACGTTTTTAGAATAAAGACTTGATAACTGATGCACATTTGGAAAGGAAAATGCGTCTCCAGCAATTTGGACTAAGTTTCTATGTTTTTCCGCGAGCTTGAAAGGGATGCTCTGTGAATGATCATTCCCATCTGCCCGGTTGTAAGAACGATAACTCTCGTACCAGTATTTTATGAATGGTGCATTCCTTTTAGCAATTACGATGGAGTTAGCTGCCGCTGTCCCATAATCTAGTCCAATTGTTGCATCAGAGTTGCGGAACTTGTCGACGGATTTCAACAAAATTTGGTCGGTGTCAAGATATATACCACCGTATTCTGAAAAAAATGAAACAAAAGATAAACAGTTCATTTTGTAGGGAAATGCATGTTAAAGGAATGTCAAATACGTATAAACTTTCTATATATAATTATATGTGGTTCAATTTAATCATTGACATGAAAAAGAACTTTTAAGAGAATTTTAATTATGTTTAAAAGAGCACATATGATTAGTAATAAAGTAAAATGTAAAAATGTGAAAGGAAAAGCCACGGGAAAGTATCTAAAGGAAAAATAAATTAAATAAGGCTTTTTCTCTTCCCGGGGCCTTTGATGCTATTGTATATTGCTCCGTCATTAACTTCAGTCACAAACGATAAATAACGATAAATAACATTTTGAGAAGAGATGCTATTGTTCCGTGTGAACAAAATGAAGTTAGTACCTTTTAAAGCTTCAAGTTTCGCAATATCTGCTTTGTGTTCAACTGAGGCTAACTTCTTTTTGTAGACCTTCTTCGGCTGCTTCCGGTGTACCTGAATGACCTTTGAACTTATCTGTAAGAAATACGCCCACATTTTGCCTTTTGGCATTTTATCCGCGTGCACCATTATCAGACACGGGTTCTGGAATTTATGCACGCTCAGAAAACTTAGGAAGTGGATGAAATTGAATTCGTTTTTCCCAAACCAGACATAATGTACAATATTCGGAACCCTTTTGTTGTCTTGGCAGTACCAGTCTAAAACTTTACGGAGACACGGATCTTGAAATGGAATTTTATACACATACTTCTGTTTCGTCGTATACAGAATCTTCAACTGTGTTTTCTTCTTTTCGCACTTCAAGATTTGTTGTTTTCGCTGTCGCTGTTTAGCTTGTATATTGTAGGTGAAACACGTATCCCGGCAAGTGCCTGTCCAAATGTAATCAAAGCATTTCCTAGGCTTGACTTTCGCAACTGGTTTCTTCACTTGATAGTGTACTGAAAACGAAAACAATTTAAACTTAGTGTATTGTTAACAATTCTAACAGTATGGCGACATTTTTTGGTGTTGCTGGTCCAGTCCAAACCAAACTAAACTAAAGAGTTCAAAAGAGTGTAATATAGGAACAAAAGATGCAATATTTTAAGTGAGATTTAAACTTGAAACCATTCAATATATGGCTACTTGCGATGGGCTCATTGGGCTGATTGATAATTTCGTGCATATATCCTCTTGAAACTCTACTTCTTCGTTATTATTTTTCATTATTAGGTAGGTGAAGAGATATTTAATACTAATGAAAAAAAACGGTAATTAAACAATTCCGCAAATTTATAAATCAACTCTGCCTCGTACATGTAAAAAGGCACTGAGCTAGTATTCAAAGCACGCCTATAGTGTTCGTAACAAATAAAGTATATTTAAAAGTGAAATATTGTGAATTGAACAAAAAAGTAATGTACACATTGCACAAAATCGTGAATTAGGGAAGTTGAAATCGTGAAGTTTAGATCGTGAATTCACGAAGCTGAAATCGTGAAGTCAAAACGACCTTCGCGAAGTTAAAAACGTGAATTCGTGAATTTCCAATGTTAAAAACCCACAGTCACAAAGTTCAAATTGTGAATTCACGAAAATGGAATCGTGAATTCATGAAGTTAAAATGTCCTCACCGGTCTGTCGTAATATATGGATGTCGATATTACATATCTATATATACACGTATAGCAGGTAATAAATTGTTTTTAAACAATATATTTTTATTTATCATATTCAGGTACATACTCAATTACTCAAAACTATGTCAACAATTATTTAAAGAAATATTTTAAAAGAATAATTAAATGATACAATTCGATCAATAAATTGAATTTTTTTTTAGAAAATGTGCCCACTGTAGGTCAATGCACTTTAAGCAGTAAACATGTCTCATAAAATTGGATGCTAAAGACTATTTTTGCATAAGTATATACATGTATATGTTTTTAATTCTTATGCTATTTTTTCTGTAAAGTAACACTGATACAAGGTTATCATAATTATTAAATATTCTAAAATAAACTAATAGTGATCATGTTAAGAGTATTGTACTGAGAAATTGAAAATGTTGCCTATAAAATATTTCAAAAAACTACAAATGAGAGCCAAGTTTAACATTGTTTGATCTACACCATTACAGGCCCAGAAACAACAATGACAACAGCTGTTCTTGCTGTTGTTAACATGATAAATTGTTCATATATACATGTATATGTATTAAAATAACCCTTGGGGTTGTAAAGAATGACATGTGTGCCTGTCCGGTATAAAATTGTATATTTGAAACATTTATCCATTCAAAACATTGTACATTCGAAACATTGAATACACATGTACATTGGAAACATTGAATACATGTACATTGGAAACATTGTATACACATGTACATTGGAAACAAAATAATGTAAAATGATAAAGAATGTTAAGTCATGGTAGTTTAAATGGTTTACAACAACTAACGCATGTTACCAGCGCTAACATTCTGCAGTTTTATATTAAATTTAAAATGGAACATAATGAAAGAAACACATTTCCAAGTTGCATAATGGGTCCGCTTTTTAACGCCATGCAAGAGCGTTGAACATCATTCAACAAATTTCATCGATTAAATAGTCTATTTCTAACAAATTTTCATTCAATATTTTATTGTTCAGATAGTAGGCTTTGGGTTTGGTCATTAAAGTGATATTACGCTCATTTTTCGATTGTCAACTACTACATAAAATTATGTCAAATGATTGATGTTGGAAATTGTTTAGAATTAAATATATTTCTGCCTAAAATATCAAAAAGACTGCCAAACTCTTTTTATGAATTGAACGTCGCAAGTAAATTCCGATGGAGATAAATTACAGAAGATTCTTTGGACAACGTGAACATATTTATCGTTGTGAATTATAAAATTGAAAGTAACTGTGGCAAAATGTAATGCCCTGTTCACTAACTATATACCATTGGAAGGGCATAATGTAATGTTAATTTGTGAGTCAAAAATATTTAATTTCAAAAGACATTTCTCATTGAAATTTACAGAACACATGTAGAATTTATGTTAAATGGTGTACAGGCTAATTCGTAATGTCTTCATAGCAAATTACAAAGCTTCATTTGTAACAATTTTGTAATGGCATTTTAACAATATTATGTAATAACGAAATTTAAGCAATTTTCAATGTCTTTTGGGGCAATTTGAAATTCTTTTTTGAAATAATTAATATCCATCTATATTAGCTACACAAATCACTTTAAAAAACGTGTGTTTGTATGTATGTGTGTGGTATGTGCAGGCTGTGTGTATTCTTGTAAATACTAGAACTATAAAAATAAGAAATTGAAATAAAATGTTTAGTCAGGAACATCGTCCGTCCGTCTGAGCATCCTTAAAACTGGTTGATCGTTAAAACTGGTTGATACCAGTTTTGAATAAATAATGTACTTTACAAACATTTTCCACTTTTTTGCAATGAATCATTATAAAAGAACGCATGAATTCATCTTGACTAAGTTCATTATCCATTCAAAAACAAAAAATAAAACTTAAACAGCAAACAATTCATCAATTTAACATAACCACTCTCGCATAAGGAATTTGCTAATCGACAATTAACATAAAAGATAAATAAAGTGACAAAATTTAGTTGGTCAACTTGCCTCACGAATTATTTTATGATTCGTTTATTTAACTGCATGCATAAAAATCGCTTATGGTGAAAAGGTCGGACTTGTAATGGGAAAGTCGGTCTAGATAGGGATATAAATTACTGAACATTGTACAGGCAATCCTCTATTGTAGCGCAAGGTGCAAAGTCAAGGTCAAAATCACGTGATTAATCAGAATATCGAAACTGTTCTTGTATCATGTACCGTTCATTTTTAAAGTATACAATGTATATGATAATGACGGTGTAAAAAATAAGATTACTTTTTCTAGTCGGAATTAATTTATGCTACTAACAATGGACACATTCATATGCACTGTTCACAAGTTCAAATGGTAAACTACATAGTAAACTACATCAACGTTAACGTAACGTTTACTTATACATTATGACGTACGTGTGCTTACATTACATTATCTAGCACGTAGCATCAATGTGCATTACTAAATCACAAAAGTGTTACCCCATATCCGTTGCACAATAAACAACAACAATATCCTACATGTGCAAATTGCAGCAAAGCTGGCATGACAGTGTGCCAATGCTTTCTTCACATTTAACGGCATAGCAGCAACAATTTCTGTAAAAGGTTTTAGACAAATTTGAACAAAGATTTAATAGAAACTTTTGTATGTAATACCTCCTGTTAAATTAACCCGCTGGATAGATTTTCTAACCACGCCATCTTCTGCTGCTCGTTTAGGCGGTATAAACACCTCAGCTAAGCCTCCGTCGGCGTGTTTTAAGATCACCATTGCCGGAACAATCAACATAGGTAACACAACTATTACAAAAATACATTGTCGTCTGCTCAGCATTCTCCTTGACGGCATAGTATCACTAAAACGCTAAAAATTCGAAACTGCAACCGCAAACAGAAATAAAACGTCACTATTACATTGCAAAGATTTTAAAACTAATTTGAAACGCGCTTTCGGCAAGTTAACTGTTTAAAGTCGCTTATTCCACTATCCGATACGTATCTTTAAAAAACATCCCTTTGTTCACGTGTCATTTATACAATAAAAAAGCGACAGTCACGTATGCGTCGTTAACTTCCTACTCACACTAAGTACATACAGTATACATGAAAATCATATTTTTTAAGCTCCCTTTACTTAAAATCCATAATAAATATCCATGTAAAGAAATGATATCAGCGCATTATTGATTCCGTCTACACGTAAACATACGGTGATGATGAGACGTTAACGTTAACGTTACACGCACGTCAAAACATCAATATCACTGTAAAGTTTTACCGTTGAGTAGTCAACCGAGGTCAGGTTGAAACAAAGGCAACCGCTTTATCAATTATTTACTGGTGTCAATGTGATGTGGTGTATTTTTTTCATTTTTAAGGGGAAGCTACTATAGTACGTACAAAAGGCAAATTTTCAGCCGTCAGCTTTATTCAGGGATGATCTGAATATAAGTAAGATTCGCCAGAGACTCGCATAATATAATTTCATTCAACTCGTTCAATAAATTCAGTATTGAATCTACACTCATTCAATATCATCTACATATTAGAATCGCCCGTTACCAGCGTCATGTTCGAAAATGATAAGTGGAAAAAAGTGTTTTAAGTCTTCCATTTCTGTACTCAATATATATTTAATTAATAACAGGCAATTCCATCACCAATTCTTTTTTCTTTATTTTATTTTCTTTCTTTGATCCTCTCACTGTTACTGAAGGGTGACAGCGAAAATAAATGTATGTGTAACAACCCCATTATCAATTTAAAAATACTCAATGATATACAACAAGAAATAAATCCGAATTAATGTCAGAAAATCATGAAGAAAATAGCTTTTTGGAATGTTTCCACTTTTATCTTTTACTAATTATCATCAAACCATGCTGAACCATGATAATCGGATATATATATATATATATATTTTTTTTTTGATGCAGACGAAATTTGGTAAGACTCTATTTGAAAGACCCTTCAGAAGGAAACTCCATTAAATTTTAAAGATTTTTATCCGTGATGAGGAATGGCTTAAATAGATCTAGTAAAACTTTTAAAGTATATGTAAAAATGTCGCATAAAATGACCTTTACATTTTTCAACTTTGCCGGCAATGTCACTATTTCTGGAATGTAATCTCGGCAATGCAAGGCACGGAGCTACACGTGCAAAGTCACGGGAGGTAATTCACTGGTTGTTCAATAATCAAAGGGAAAGAACTGCTGCGAACTCAAGTGCGTAGGATCAAGGGAGTTAACTTCAGCGCGGGTCTTGGATAAACAGGTAAATTTTGTGGTTTTAATAAAATGCATTTGTTCATAGAGAGATGTAATCTTGTCGCTTTTTCTGTCTGCGATATTTAGCCCAATGGTTTTATTGCCAAAGTTCTGTGTGGTTGTTACAGATTCAACACTTATCTGTTTTTTTAAGTTTTGTAACTTTTGTTCCAATAATTTTCGTACTGATTCATCTCAAGGACCATTTATCACTTAACATGAAAATGGATTTAACCAAATAACTCTTTCGTGTTAATATAATTAGCAGAAAAAATAAATTAATTTATTAGGAAAATACAGATTATGATCATTCTGATTTAGCGTCTATAAATTTAAAAATTATTTAAAATCTACTAATTTAATTTATTAATACTTTATTAGATGTATTTCAATTAAAACCGTGATCTATTTAGGAAATAGATATCAATTCTGAGTGCATTGTTGTAGAATAATGCACGGTTTGAGTTCAAATGCGTAGTAATATAATCACGAAGGTCGATTGGCCCGAGTGATTAATTACAGAGCATTTGAACGTAAAAACTTGCATCATTATACTATAATGCACGAAGAATTAATATCTTTTTCCATTCTAACACGTCAAGAAAAAATACAATAATTATTACATAGTTGGACTTTATGTTTGGTGGTTAAATTTGTTTTTGCCTCAAAGTTTGCAAATGGAAACGTTCTTTAAAGGCTCCTCCAGTGGGTTGAAAAACAACTGTCGTTAAATCTACCGTGTGTAGAAACAGTCTGAGAATAACGAATTTTGAAACTTCATTTCACTCTATATTTTTCATACAAAATACAATGTATTTATAGTGAAATCAATGTGAAAATTAACTCGTTTGCGACATTGAAATTACCGGTAAGCGTTCTTGATTTGATTGTTTTTGCACATGCTGTTTGGCGCTATATTGTGACGTCGCATAAACAACACTTTAAACGCCTGTACAGCGTTAACGACTGAATTAAAGATATTGGTGTTCAGATTCATTTTCTTAGTTAGACCATTTTCCTCATTCTAGATAGTTTTCACAATAAAATTCAACAAAAGTTGTTTTTTATATATCAGATTTTTATGCCCCCATTTCGAAGAAAAGGGGGTATATTGCTTTGCACTTGTCGGTCCGTCGGTCCGTAGACCAAATGGTTTCCGAGTGATAACTAAAGAACCCTTAAGCCTAGGAACTTCAAACTTGGTATGGTGATTGGTCATGACCAGTAGATGACCCCTATTGATTTTGGGGTCAAGGGGTCAAAGGTCAAGGTCACATTGACCTTGTAAGCAAAAACATTTACCGATCAATAACTAAAGAACCTTAAGGCCTAGGAACTTCAAACTTGGTATGGTGATTGGTCATGATCAGTAGATGACACCTATTGATTTTGGGGTCAAGGGGTCAAAGGTCAAGGTCACATTGACCTCTTGGGTAAAAACGGTTTCCGAGTGATAACTAAAGAATCCTTAGGCCTAGAAACTTCAAACTTGGTATGGTGATTGGTCATGACCAGTAGATGACCCCTATTGATTTTGGGGTCAAGGGGTCAAAGGTCAAGGTCACATTGACCTTGTAAGCAAAAACGGTTTCCGATCAATAACTAAAGAACCTTAAGGCCTAGGAACTTCAAACTTGGTATGGTGATTGGTCATGATCAGTAGATGACCCCTATTAATTTTGGGGTCAAAGGGTCAAAGGTCAAGGTCACATTGACCTTGTAGGTAAAAACGGTCAATTAACTAAAAACGCTTAGGCCTAGGAACTTCAAACTTTGTATGATGATTGGTCGTGACCAGCAGATGACCCCTATTGAGTTTTGGGTCAAGGGGTCAAAGGTCAAGGTCATGACCAGTAGATACTTGATAACCCTTATTAATTGTTTGATCACTGGGTCAGAAGTCATGCATAATAACCTTATCACATGACTAATTGGCTGCTGATAGGGGGCATACATGTTTTACAAACATATCTTGTTCAAACAAAATGGCACTGTCAGTGTGTCAGTATGAAAGTACACAGGGAGACAATAAGAACGGCAAGTGCATTCTTGTAGAATAATGCACGCTTACAGCCTTCTTTGTCTTTATAGAAAAATTTTTGATAGTGTTAGAATGCATATTTTAATTAAAAAATAAATAAAATCAACACATGAACTAAAAAATCAAAAAGGCTTTTTAATAATTCCGGCTTTCCAAAACTTCATAAGCTGCTTTTTAACATTTTTGTTCTTCATCTGATGTGGCATTCACATAGTTTATGAAGGGCAGGGCTTTTTTTCCTTCTATAACAGGGGCCTATATAAGGCCCCTTCACAATTCAAAATTGCACTTTTTTTTCAAAAAGTGGCAGAAAAAAAATCACAATTTCAAAAGTAATGTAACAAAATATTGGGACTTTGTCTTTGAAATGCATTGATAACCTTCCGGTAAAACATGATTTACGCCAATCTCAAGAACACGGTTATAGTTTTAATCAAGTTAGATGGTTTTAGCACATGTTAACCGGGTTAAAGTATCGACTTGAAGCAGATTTTCTGGTTTCATAATGTCGCTAAATGCCAAATTCTACGTAATTTTTTTTCACAATTTTATAACAAATCGCGCTTTTTTTTTCACAAAATGAACAGGTCCAGGCCCCTTCACAATTTTGACAAAAAATGCCCTGAAGGGGTAAACTGAAGACCTTAAGCTAGCTTTTTAATAGCCTGCTTCCACACTGTCTCTTATAGGTCAATTCAGTGGTTTTCTTTTAAAGCTTGGATCCTAACTTTGGCTGTGGGGTGCAATTGCATTGCCAGAACTTTCATCTGGGATATTCCCTGCAGGAAAAATATTTTAGTCCCCACTATTCCCAGGGGTTTGGGGTTGGTAATATGATTAAAATTGACCTGTGCATAAAGACACAGACACTTGGGGTGTCAGGAGCTTGGATGCTTCGTCTAAATGCCTATATCCAAATAAGTTGAATCCTAGCACATATACCTATCATATAAATCAATAACACTTCATACATCCTGTTTTAAAGAATTCCTAAATGTTCTTGTTCATTGAAAAAATTAATTTTGTGTTATAAACTAAAGAAAGTTCTATTCAGCAATATAAAATTTAATATTAACTTTAACTGAAATATGAAAAAACTTCAATGTGACACCATTAATTGCGATTTAAGTGATGACATACTGATTTCAAAATGACCAACATATGATTTACGTCTTGACCATTAAATCTGATATTGATTGAATATATTGTTGTTTCCTTGTGTCATATAGCAGAAATAACCAAATTGTTAAAGCTTATGACAATTTTTTGTACCGTTAAGAACCTTGAACTAATATGAGCACAGTATAAATATACAAATATGTAATTCAATTGTGTTGGCTGTATCTCTCATTAAAGTTTGTAATGCATTCAACAATAATTAATTGTATATTGATTCGGCTAAATTTCATGTCTGATGAAATTTTAATTGTTTTGTTTGCATATTTTTTTAGAAATTGATGCGAAAATTCCTATCACAAGCAAACAGTGCAATGAATCCAAATTCTAAGATTGGCAAGTCCATAATTTAAATTTAGAGGATATCAGGATTTAAATGCAAATCTATAAATGTAAAGTGCATTCAATGTTCTTGAAAATTTAAAGAAACATTCTGGTATGTTCACTCAGTAACAATTAATGATGTGGTGCAGTTACAGCAGGGAGTGCACATGTTTACGTGTATGTTGTATATATGTTGTATATTTTGACAAAAACTGAAAGTCTACACATTATAAGGATGATATAATCCTTTTATTAAACCCACAGAAAATTATTCAAATGACATGTGAGACTCACTTGCATTTGCGTTTTGGCATGACTCATTACGCACCTTCACTGTAATAAATTAATGCACACCTAGAGTACATAAATAGGTAAAATTATTTTCTTGAAATATTTCACCATTTTTGTTATCATTTCAAACAAAATAATTATGCTTATTATTTTGTTGTTTTCAAAAAATTATATTATAAAAAGTTTACTACATGTAGTTTTGAAATGCAAAGATTGAAGTTAATACCTAGTCACACCCCACATTAGTGAAATGGACATGTCCTACTTTTGAGTGTGGTACAGTCTATTATTGTTGTAAGGTAGGCTAGAATGTCAGAACAGACTACATTGTTTTCACTGTTGACTGGTTTTCAATATTTAGAATTTGATATTCCTTATATTAGCAATTATTTTTTAAAAATAAGACAGGTCCAAATTCAAATCTGCATGGACAAGTTTTTTTCACAAATTTTATTTTCTAGAGGAAAGTCCTTTCCTTAGAATAAAAGTTAACTTCTTGATGAATTTTGATTTAATTTTGAAAATTTGAAGGGCCATGAATATAAAGATATTTATTCTATTTTAATAACCTTTTATAACAACCAATGTTAAGTACAAGAGTTATTATATAAAACTTTATTGGCTATAAATATGGTCCATTAAAATTGTATATTGTTGGTCTTATACTTTGAAACAATTTAGTAGTTGTATGTATGTGTTTAGAAATAAATCTACAAACTGATTACAAACACGATCAAAATGTAATAACATTACATTTTTATGTGATATGTTTACGTACCTTTTTGGTATAAAATGTAAACCTGATTTACATTTTGTTCGTTTTTACCACTATACCTGTAGGCGGTGTGGGTAAGACATATGGTAAAATGATAAAAGTCTCGCGCCTGAATGAAAACATATAGTGGCGTACTATGATTAAACTAAACTATATATTACCATGTTAAGTTTATTCTGCCGTGTCAGACTGATGTATTGGGAATTATAACTTGCCATGCAGGGAGAATAATCGCGAATGTGAGAGAACCGTGAAAGTGAACGAGAGAGCTAGCTAATATCTATACAGAGTGGTATATACATAAGTTCGGACATTTATATTAGGATATATTGTAACAAACTTATTGGTAAGGTTATGTCGATATTAACTTATTTATTTAAGGTATATAAGTTAACTATAGAGCATACAGTTTGTTTTCTTATATCTTTAAAGCAAGCCGATTTTTTTATTGTATTGAAATGCTAACTGATTAACTTTTAACACTCAGATAAATATTTTTTGGGTGGAAATAAATAAAATTGAGTTACACACTGGTATGATATGTTTTAACATATAGATTTATAACACACAGCTATCTGTTGTGGCTAATAACAGATAAAAAAATGCGTGTAATATACATATATACTAATTATAGTAAGAATGAAATATCCTGCAATACATTATGCATTCATATATTATAATTTTATGATGCAAAGAATGCATCAGGTTATGAATTATGAATGATTTATTCATTTTGAAACAAGAGCTGGGCTAATCTTCTCAAATTGATAATCAGATGTATACCAGCTATGTCACAGTTTGACAGTACTGTTAACAGAAAAGTCTGTTAAGTGGGTCATAGAGCCAGACCACCCTGTTCATCCCGGTCCTTGTAGACGGACCACATTGAGACTATACAGTATACAGATTGGCTGACCAACTTAAAACTGCAACCACTGAGCGAAACAATAGAATCTCTGATGCAATTTTGAGAGAACCAACGTTGGTGTGTATAAATTGTAGTAACAATTAACAATACTTGTAATATGTGAACAACATTCTTTGTGTGATTTTATAATCTTAGCCATAGAAAATGATCCATTCTTTACACCATTTTTGGCATACGCAGTCACATGCGGTAGAGCAATTTAATTACCTTCCTTAAGCTAGTCATGTATGTATATATAGCTTAATTCTTAATATAATAGAGTTTGCCTTGTATGGAACCTCCAATGTCAAATAGCCCAGATACAATGTTTTGCTCATGGACAATAACTAGGGGTGGTCAGCTGCTGGGGGTAATAAGGTTTTTCTGTCATTCTGCTGTCAGTCAATTAATTCAATTTATACGCAAAACTGAAATTTAGGGTGACAAGAGAATTGATTTAAATTGGGGTTAGCAGTGTACATGTATGCAATGTTGTAATTATGATACCCATAGTTATTGAATTGTCTCCTTTCAGGCTGATTGGGATCTTAAATAAGGTTAGAGTCCCACATATATAATTCACTGCAAACTGTTGTTTCATATCATAGGGAGCTGGCACAGTGTTTGGATAGCATATAAAATGCTTACTTGAACCTCTGAACACACTAGAAAAAAAAATTCACCATCAAATATTATTTGATAGTGAATTTTTTTTTTCGAGTGTGTTCAGAGGTTCAAATAAGCATTTTATATGCTATCCAAACACTGTGCCGACTCCCTATGTTTCATATGATATCAAAACTGATTGACTAATTTGACTCAAGAATGATAGAGTTAACAATGAGCTCAAATCAGTGGACTTTAACTCTTATTTTTGCTTTAATTTAGGAGAATCGATGTTATATTATGATATTTGAAACAAATTTTAAAACATAAATGTACAGAAAGGTCTGAAGATATACCTGTATGAAAACAAAAACTTCTCTTTAAATACAAATAAAAAAAATAACTTTTTTAACAACAACAGATTTTTAAACAAAAAAAATGGTAAACCTAAAATAGCTGGTATTTAAGATGGGTGGATGAAATGTAGTCTACAAAAGAACTGCTACAATATAATGATAGTGACAGTTGTGACAATTATAGTGTTATTTCTACAAGTGCATACTTACTCGAGGGTAAAAACCACCGCTTTAAATGTCACTTTTGATCTTTATCATAAAATTTTACACAGTTTATGTCCATTTTATCTCCAATTAGGGGTTTTATTTCTCAATTACGAATCTAACTTATAATTTAGAAAAATTTAAAAGAAATAAAAATTGAAGTAAATAGATCAAAAATTAAAAGGATTTGCTTAAATGATTTTCAATACAAGTGAAGTATTTATTATTCATAGGGTTTTTCAATTTTTCAAAACCTTTTTTTATCTACATTCGACAAAATTATAATTCCCATTAATTGTCCTGTATTTGTGTATGAGGATCATTTGATCCTTGATTGACAAATCTTTGATTTCTGATGGTCAAGATTATAAAAACTGTCATCTACAACTTATTGACCCATGATAGAGTTGTTATCAAAACATTTGCCTGTCTATCCAATTTTATGTCCTTGTTAAATGTAATACTGGCACAATGTATCAATTTTTTCACAATTTTGTTCCTGTTCTGTTCTTAATTTTGCTCATCTTTGAATAACAAAAAAAGTATGGCCCAAGAATCGGTTGTTTCAAATGATTGTGTCTCTAATTTAAGGTTCTGAAAGCCATGTTTGAATTAACTACTTAGAGATTTGTATAGTTACAAGTTTGATTTTATGTATATAGTGGCCATATGGGTGTCACACACTGTTTGCTTCTTTATATAGAGTAACAGGATGCTGTATTTGTATTTTCCTTATTAATATAATAAGTGCCCCTAAAAACCCCATTTGCCCAATTATTTTAGCCCCTAAGTTACAATTTACCCCTGTGATTTCTAACAGAAGTGGGCAATTGGGTATATTCTACAATATAGCTTGGTTATTAATATTATAAAATCCTCCCAACTAAAGAATTCAGTGTCACTACCTAGTGGGATTCATATCCACAGGTATGAGAAGTAAGTGATTTAAAGTTGATCCCTGTGTCAGCTAAATAGCATTTAACCACCCAGCTGTGGGCCGGATCTCAATTCCATGCACAACTGAGTTAAGTTAAGTTTTTACCTTGCTGACACATAAGACAAACAACTTAATATTAACAGGGAGTGATTAAACGCATTTTATTGTCAACATTGGCTGGAAGCTTTATCAAAACTCTTTAAAGAGAATGTGAAACGCATGGTAAAGTTATTTACTTACTACATAAGCAATAACATAATATATTATATGAAATTTTTTATTTTGCATCATTGCCTTTTAACAAAATGTTTGAGGATGGTAAATGACTTGAAATATCTTAATGAAAATCACTGTAGACGGTTTAAACTACAGGAAGAATTTTTGTTACACTTCACAGGATATTTGAATATATAAAGCCACGATAATATATTATGGCGTAATTTTATATATAAGGATATTTTACGCAAAATTTGTTTAACCAGCATTAAGGATTATTTAATGTGGGCAGTCTGAAAACACATTCTTAAATCTAATCTGGTTGTTGAGTCACTGTATTTATGGTTCGCCTACAATATTTTATGACATAATTCAGCGTTTATTGATTTCAGAGCCATTTTGTGTATATACTAAAGTACACAATGTGCATTATAATATTTTTTTGTGTTCATTTCAATGGTTCCTAAAATGTTAAGAAGGGCTTATAGTCTATAAATACAAAAGTACAAAAGTCATGTTTGAAAAAATACCTGATTTAAACATAAACTGACTAATAATACCTTAAGGCTGTTTAGATTCTCATTAGATAAAATGATAGACATTATGACAGGGGATTTGTGGTGTAACTGATTAAGTTGTCAACATTACTGCACAAAGGGTGGTGGGCTCAAGCCTTTTTTTTACAACAATATTATAAAAAAAAATAATTCTTCCATTAGGCAGTGTCAATTAAGTTGGTTTTAAGGCACATAAATGTATAATATTATATTGTTGTTTCTGTTTTAATATGAAAGGTAAAATTTATTATGAAATAAGATTTTGTCAGAGAATGTATTATTTATTATTAATTTACAAGAATGAAAACTTATTGAAGCAGCTGTTAAGTTTAGGGATCCTGCCATTGAATTACTTTATTCGCCTTCCCCGTTGTGGGATTTGACTCCCCTGCCAGTGTCATAGAATTCTTTTGATGTAAGGAAAGTATGCTATATAAGCTTCCAAAAGGTTGGTAGTTAATCTGTGGTGTCCACTCTTGTCTGAAATGATGCATGGAGGGACATCTAAGGTCTTCCTCCACCACATTGCATTGTCAGCTTCAAACCTGCTCAAAAATTAAAAAAAAAAATCAATTATGAATTACCCTGTGCTATGGAGGCCACCAGTTGCATGCATGCCTTTGATAAAAAGGCTAAATTAAGCCGGCCAATATATTTGGAAATATCAGCATTCTTACCAGCTACTACCAGTGTCAACCAAGATTAGATGGCAAATCTGTGCACCTCTTTCAGATCATGGTCAATCACTAATCAATCGCGACATATTTTGAAAAGTTCCTTAAAATAATAATAAATGGTCTGGTTGAGAAAATCATTTAAGATATTATTGGTGTGTGTGGGGGGACTGGGGAGAGGGGAGTTTAGGTTAAGGGAAATATTTGGAGGACAAGGAAGTACTATGTACATTAACACATAAAGATTGAATAGAATTAGTTGTTATATTTAAGTTTAAGAATTTGCATCTTATTTTGTTCATTTTATGACCTCAGATCAACATTTGTCAGAATGAATCGATGAATCAATAAAGTTAACTGTTGTCTAGAGCTGTCGATACTGTATTTGTGCACATTCCAGTGATCACAACTGTCAATAAATAAATAAATAACCGTTATATACATCCTGCATACTGCATACAAAAATGTTTTATTTCAACCTTTATCTCATGGACTTGTCCTGCTTTGAATTTGGAATAGTCTATTATAAATTTAAGGGGTTTAGTAACAGTTGAGTTTGTGTGTAAGTGCGTGTATTCTATGGTTAATGGGTCCAATCCACCCTTTAAGGCATTGAGATTACGGACACTGGACATGTCATCATTCATGCCCTTAAAGGTTATTATCTACCAAAAAGTGACCTAAAAATTTTGAATTCAGTAATTAAATCTGTATGCAAGTTGATTTTTGTGATTTTTACTGTTGGTAACAGCTAGTTTACCAAACAAAAGCTATTAAAAATAGTGTAGAGTACGGCTGAACATGCAAGTATGGCTCTTTAGTAAGTAACACAAGCAAATGCATGCAAGTTATTATTACTAATACTGATAAAAGCTTCCTTTAATGAGGTTGAAAAGTATATTATATAGATGCTTGTTTTGAGAAGGTAATTTCACTTTTTATAACTATTGTTTGGGTCAAAAATTACAAGTTCAGTGGTTGAGTGCAGCATTTGTCAGAGTTAATTAATCCTTTCTTGTAAATTTTTGTCCCTTTCCGTGACAATTATGCAAGAGTTGCTTATTGAACTGACTCACAAAATAAGGCAGTACTGTGTAGCAAATTATTAGTATAGTAGTATGGGTTGATAAAATGAAATGAATTTTGGCATATGTAAGTGCATGTGTCAGCTGCAACTTTTGGTCGAGCATCAATTTTAGATTCCAGTCCTGTTTAACCTGAAAATATTAAATATTTACCAGGGACTCTTTTCTTTGGTTTTCTCTTTCCTGTTCTAAGTGTGCTCATAAATTTAGTGCAAACTAGTTGAAGTGTCTTAGTATTGGACTCATTTCAAAGAAACTTTATAACATATGTTGATATTTAAGTTGGAACTTTGTAGAAATATTTCATTTTTAGAATGACGTCAGGTTTCGGCATACTATGACTGTTTAATGAAATAACCAGTGGAAAAAAACACCTTTAAATGTGTCTTTATATTTACATGTTTAAGTGAGGACATCTTTGTTCGGAGGTAAGATTAATTGGTCACTAGTATATATCTAAGATAAAGTACCCCCACCTTTATGCCTGAGGGTTGTCTAGGCAACGAATGATGTCATTAAACTAACTGCCTTCATTAATAAGTTTTGTCACCATCACATGATACAGTATCTGTACTGGTTGGGGACAATTTAAGGTTACAAAAAGTTACTTCAAGTTTGTAAGTTATATGAAGGTTAGTAAAAATTTACTTTTTTTACAAGTATGGATTGTAAAATTTAATTAACTTACCTCTGACCTATTAAGGGAAACATTGAATAAAACAAAAGTTGCCAAATTATCTTTTTTATTCTCTTTAGAACAATTTTTTTGCAAGAGATTTTGATTGATTTTTTTTTAATTATCAATTTTTGTTGTGTCGTTTCAGGTTGATATAGATATTTGAAATCAAAATGGCAACTGGGCAGCAATTAACCAATGGAGATGCAGGTAATGAAGTGCAGGAAGGGGAAGCTGTGGTACAGAAATCTCCTCTGGATTATATATATATTTCCGAGCATAAACTGAAATATATTAACAATGACTACAAAAAAGTGAATGCAAAAATGTACGACTACAAATGCGATGTTAAATTAACAGTCGGAAAATCGAATTTCAAGGGACATAAGAAAGTTCTGGCAGACGCGAGTGATTATTTTGCAGCCATGTTTAGTCATGAAATGAAGGAAAAAGATGAAACTATTATAGATTTAAAAGATATAAGTCCTGAAGGTTTTGGAGCAATGTTGGACTACTTTTATCATGGTCATGTGACCGTTGAAGCGAAAATTATTCCGGATATTCTTGAAGCTGCGAGATTCTTTCATGTTGAATGGATTTTAGATATCTGTTGCGACTATATGATACGTCACCTTAGCTTATTAAACTATCAGCTCACCATGCATTTAGCCGACAAGTTTTCTTTAGGAGATCTGCGTTGGGAGATTTTTAAGTATTTCAGTAACAATCTTCCGTCCCTTGTTGAGAAAGAGGACTTCATGAAAGATTGTTCATTTGACTTGCTGCTCCAATTCCTAATGGAGTATGTATACGTAGAGGTCTCAGAATTTTTCCTCTTACAGGTAATTAATATATGTTATTATCCTACTGTATTTATTAAATGTACTTGTCCATTTTTCAGAACTGTTCTTCAAATCAATTTCATGGGATTTCACCATGAAATCTAAAGCTAGTCAGCCAACTTAAGAGATCGTCACAGGTCAGGTCGTGCAGATGTGCAGACTGGCCTGGTTCTATACTGCTGACAAATGTTGAAAATGTTTGGTTCCATCAGGGTAAAGGTCTTCATGTAAAAAAGTATTAAACATAAAATAGACAAGTAAATGCCCTTTTAAGAATTTAGAAATTATCAATATTCAATATAACTAGAGGGGCTGACTGTATAAAGGAGTCATACCGGATTGCATATCTTTGTAGGCTTGATCTATACATGTATTGGCAATTTTGGTGATAGTGTGCTTAATTTCAGGGGAAAAACATCAATGTAATATTACTGTATCATAGGGCAAGTAAAAGGTCAATATTGGTTAACATTCAAAGTGTTATTTCGATCCAATATTGGTATATTATGTATAATATCATCTAGGAAGTCATACAAGTTTTGATCATCCCAGATGTTATCAAAACTATTTCTTAAATTCTATAACTCCATTCTATAAATTAGTTTGTATGTTCTCATGCTTTTCTATCAAGAGAGAAAACACAGCAGACAAAAATATGCATTCATTTTCTGGAAAAATAGAAATGTGAATTTGTCCCATGTGACCAGAATTAATTATCATTGACTGTATTGTAGTAGACAGTGACAGGAAATGTATTTTTAGATGACTTTTATTCTATATTGATATCTGATATTATACAGTCTACTAGCTATAGTTACTGTATGGCCTCACATTTCAAAAATTTGGGTGGTTTGTTCATACATGTAGTAATTAAACTTAGTACATTTCCCAATGTGAAAGTGTGCATATTGATTAATTTAAGTGAAGTTACTACAAATGTAAATAGAAAAAACAAGCAGTTAGGTTTAGAATTAAGGCATTTGTTTAAAAAAAAAGATGTTGGTGTATTATAAAAGGTTTCTGTTTAGAAGAAAAATGTTTGTGTTATAAGGAAAAGTTTTCCTAGGTTCCCATCGATAAGTTTAGTTGTATATTATTACATTCAGCCCCAATATTGAATCGATATTTTTCTTCTAATCAGTGTTCTTAATATTGATGTGTATGCATGTATTTTATAGTTGATAGTTAACTGGGTGAAAGCAGACGAGGCCTCAAGGAAGGACCAGTTGCAACCATTACTGTTACAGCTGAGGTTTCATACAATGGAACTTGAGGAACTAGAAGCTATTCCGGATGAAATACTCGCACTACCAGAGATAAAGGACGAGGTAAGGCTAGAACTATAAGCAGTCAGGCCTCCGAGGCCAATTGGTTAATGAAGTTGACTTTGAAGCACTTGATTCTGACTTTAATGGGTTCAAATTCAGCTAAGCTCTTTGTTCGTCCAGCTAACTTACAGAAGATTGGTGGTTCTACTTGGATGCCTGAAATACAAATAATTAGGGCTACATTGATTCAGGTACCCTTGGGGCTCAGTTTTATTTTAGTCATAACCTCGATTATCAAATATTTTTATGCCCTGCCATATAATGGCTGGGGCATATAGTGTTACCCTGTTCCGTCATTCTGTCATTCCGTCATCATCAGTTTCCGTTCATTATCTTAGGAACAGTTGCACACATTCAACTCAAATTTGGCATATGGATATGTCATGAGAAAATACAGGTCAAGTTCAAATTTGGTCATGGTTCTATGATTTTTGGCAGAGTAATGCCCCTTTTACTTTGAAACTAATATGAAATTTTCAGTTTCGATTCATTATCTCCCCAACGGTATTACACATTCAACTCAAACTTGACATATGGATATGTCAAAGGTATGCGCAGGTCAAGTTAGAATTTGGTCATGGTTCCATGATTTTTGGCAGAGTTATGCCTCTTTGAAAACAATATGAAATTTTCAGTTTCCTTCATTATCTCCCCAACAGTATTACACATTCAACTCAAATTTTACATATGAATATGTTAAAAGAATGTGCGGGCCAAGTTTGAATTGGGTCATGGTTCAATGATTTTTGGCAGGGTAATGCCCCTTTCACTTTGAAAATAATATGAAATTTTCATTTTCTGTTCATTATCTCCCCAAAAGTGTTACATATTCAACTCAAATTTTACATATAGATATGTCAAAGGAATGCACAGGTCAAGTTTGAATTTGGTCATGGTTCGATGATTTTTGGCAGAGTTATGCCCCTTTAACTTTGAAAGAAAAAGGAAATTTTCAGTTCACATTCATTATCTCCCCAACAGTTGTACATATTCAACAACAAATTAAAGATATGGATCTGTTATAAGAATGCATTGGTCAAGTTCAAATTTGGTCATGGTTTGATGATAGCTGACAGAGTTATCCCTCTTGAACTTTGAAAAAAATTCAGAAATTTTAAGTTTCAGTTTATTATCTCCCCAATGGTTGTACACATTCAACTCAAATTTGACATATAGATACATCTTAGGAATAAGCAGTACAAGTTTGAATTTGGTCGTGGTTCAATGATTTTTGACAAAGTTATCTTTCTTGAATGTTGGAAAAATTTTGAATTTTCAGTTTCAGCACTCATACTTTTGTAGAAATGTATGCACCCATAATTTTGGCTACAAATATGCATCATATGCAATTTACAAAAGGTTAACACTGAATAGTTTCAGTGCCTTGAATTTTGTATAAAAATGGTTTGTGTTAACATTGAATAGTTTATGGGCTTTGAACTTAAAATGAAAAAAATAATGTGTGCAAACAAATTTGGAACTAAATATTATAACATCTGAAATTTTGGTTGCATGTGGGGGCATCCGTGGCATGATGACACATTTCTAGTTTGATGTAGAAATTTTTTACGACCTGATTTTAATGAATAAATTCAAACAAGTAATTTTGCTGTTATATAAATTGTTTGTTATTGTATGGCTAATATATGCCTGATTTTATTATTAACTTTTCTGTATTGTGTCGGAAATATGTGCCAAATTAGATTTGCATGGCACAAGGTGAATAAAAAAACTTGTGGATAAAAAAATCATACATTATTTGATAGGAAATTACTCTTTAATCTGTCTATAACATATCTATTCAATATTGTGCATAACCACATAATTTTATATTACTAGTAAATAATTTTCTGAATGTAAGGTCAAAACTATTTTGAAATAAATTTTCAAGAGATGAAGTTAAAACAAAAATAATAATGCTTCTTTTATTACTGTTTGAAAAGACAATAACTACCGGTATATGGTAAATGTCTGAATTAAATAATAATTTCCATTCCAATGTATTTATTTGTTACCATTAGATAGAGGATGCTAAGATGTATTGTTTGAACATTCCTGCACAGTGTTTGAAGACGGGCGACAAATATCTGAGTCGTGGATCAAGGGAGGTAGTCATGATTGGCACGTTCAACGATCAGGCCGAGAGTAACACAGTTGTATACAAGGACTTGGAAAATGACGAGTCTAATCTATTTATAGAACAGCTTGGGCAATCTGGTTAGTGTACATGTATATAATTATTGAATATATGCATAATAAGTGCATTTGAAGAATGGTATGATAGAAATAGAAATATGTTCTTTTGAAAAATGCATTGATCAGCTTTAGTGTCTGGCATCCTTAAAAAATATTATAAATTATCAAGTTTGCTCAAATAAATTTGAAAGATCTCTACTGTGAAGGGAATATTAGAATTTGAACTTCAAATATCTTTAAACAGAGCTTCTTCTTATGAACCAATGCTTGGATCATCAACAAACATGGTCTATAACATCCATGGATGGTCATCTGTCAAAATTACTGAAGTAAACTTTAGATAGTTCCTCAATGTAAAAAAAACAATAGTCGCATGGGTTCAAACCCCATCAGAGGCAAGTCATTGATTGAGCAAAAAACTTTATACTCATTGCTCAGTACTGGTTTGTTCCAGGGACGGATTGGAAAGTGTGTCTAAAAGCTATAGCTTCCTACACAGTCAAACTAAAATAAATTCTGTATAAAGCAATATAAAAATAATAAGAAAGTCAATAGAATAGATATTCATCAGATGAATGTTTCTTATCTTTCTACAGAATGTTCAGAAAATTAAATTAATTGTATGCTGGTTGTTTCTAATAAAATCTTTGTATGTATTTTCCAGGATTGGCCTGTGATTACTCAACTATGAGTCAGGCTAAGATAGGAAATTTCCTGTTTGCTGCAGGCGGTTATGATGATGACTACAAAAGTAGTTCCCGAGTGTTCAGGTATGACCCTCAAGCACGTGAGTGGACCGAAGTTGCTATGATGATTCAGCCACGAGTCTCATTTGCTTTGTGTAGTTCTAAAGATAGACTGTATGCAGTAGGCGGAGTCTTTCATACTATGGGTGACATAGAAGGCGGAGAACAAATATTACGATTTGTAGAGATGTATAACCCGGAGGAGAATTCATGGAAAGATCTTGCTGACCTTCCATTCGGAACATTTGATCAAGCGTCTGCCCATTATGATAAGACTCTCTACGTCAGTGGCGGAATCAGTGATCTGCCTCAGCATACTATTCCAATAAAGTCTATGTTTTGCCTCGGTGAAGGTGCTAACGACTGGACTGAATTACCTGACATGACTGTGGCCAGGCAAGGTCATAGCATGACTGGTTTTGGTGGAAAAATTTACATCATCGGTGGATATACATCCAAACTGGACACTCCCGGTTTTGCGGACAGTTTTACAAATGATATGTTTGATATAGAAACCAAGCAGTGGACGTCACTGGTGTCAACGCCGGAAAATCTAGGTCATCTTTATCGCCATACTGATTATTCTGAAAGCACAATATACTTTTTATGCAATTTAGACTCAGAGGTGTTTTTATGCAGTTTTGATATGGAAAGTCAAGAATTTGGCCAAATGATCTTCGTAGGTTCGGGTGTTCAAAAATGTGCTGTTCTACAAATCGCATATCCTTCAAACTAGATACAACTTAAGAACTTTTATATAGAATGGTATAAAAGTAATCCTACAAGTTTAAAGAGAAGAAATAGAAATGATATTGGAAAAAGTAATCTTACATTATAAGGAGTTGTGCAGGAAGAAAATGCAAATTTGGAATTTTGTTGTTATGCTCCTTTATGTGATAAAATTGTAAAATGTCAGGAGAGTTTTACATAAGCAATTTCTGTCAGAATTTATATTGTGTTAAAGGAACATGAAGCAACATTGACAGTGTTTTTATTCAAATATTAAGCCTTATTATGTTGCTTAAATTTTAACTGTTTTAGAATTGTGAATATTGTATATTGTAAATGCATTTGATAAAATAAGGGTAACTTGCCAAATTGGAACATAATTACACTGTAAATGTTTAAGATACCATTTATAAAAAAAACTTCCTTACAAATTATTTAATTAGTTATTTACTTATTTTGCAAGTTATAATAGGACCAAACTAAAAGCAATGTACAACATATGTCATACATATAAAGGGGACCAGTTTAATGTTTAATTTCAGGGCATTTTATAGTGTAGTTTTATATATCGGGCAAGAATGTTTTTAGAAATAAGCTTTTCTGTTGCTTGATCTTGTTAAAAGGCTATTTAGCTATGGATATGTATTGTTATAGATTACATGTATATTAACATTTTTTTAACAAATTTTGACAAAATTTAAACGGTGCTTACTAGTATATATTTTCTGTCTTGTTCAAGTCTATGTTCATGTATAGCAAGCAAGTTTTTAGATTTTTAACAACTCATATTGAGTTCCTTAAATCTTTATATGGTTGAAAATCTTGAAGAAGGGTGATCCCTCAGATGAATTAATCACAACAAAATAACATGAAAATTGCAGACATGGTTTGATTTAGTCTGTACATGAGGGATAATGAAAAAGTGCAACATCCCTCTTTTCTTAAATACGATATTATGTGGTATTTATTAGCCATTTCAAATTGATTTATTATTTTGAAACTCATTCCATAATGATAAGAATATTCAGTTTATTATGGTATTTTGTAGTTGCTTTTGTTATAAATCAACTAGTTGACTTAATGTTTAGAATGTAGAATTATGGAAACCAGATTAATGTATTATTATAAGCTCGATTATTAGAAAAATATGGTGAGCTGTTACACTCACCCAGACATCGATATGGCCGTCACACTTTGGGTAAGTTTTTGCAAGCAAGTAAAGAATCTCAAAAACTACAAAAGAAAATGGGTTGAAATTTCCCGCACTTATTTGAGAGCATAATAGGAGGTCACTTACCAAGGTCCGTAACTCTAACATGAATTTTGACAGAATTATGGCCCTTTTTTGAGCTTCTATTCTACATTGTGTTCTATTCTAAATTCTACATTATCTATTTTCAAGTTTTACTATCAAGTACCGAGAAAAGTTGAGCATGATAACCTACTGAAAGCTCTTGTATTTTTATGTTAAACTATGTTTATTTTACAAAGCCTGGAAAGAAGTTCTAGGAGAACAGTGCCTGCAAGAACCTAGTTGATTTATTTCTTGTCATACTTTTTAAGTTTTCTTTAAAGATCTGTTAAAAATTTGATCTGCATTTTACTTTGAACAAATTTCAAAAGTTTTTACACATATATGTTGTTTGTGTTCTGTTTATTTTTTAATTGTTGTCTATGCATTAGTGTTGCACTGAAAATATATATATTAAGATACTTCTTAAAAGACGCACACCTCCAGTCGAGTAAAATAATTCATCAAAATTAGTGAAGCTCTATTTAGTTAGTTTAAGAAATGACTAAATATTATCCATGTATATTTTATTTAATTTACTTTGCAAAAGATGACAGATTTGACTGTTTTATCACCAAAGTTCAATCTGTTTAGAAGGGGAAGAAACTAAAGATAAAAATTTTGCATAATTTGACAAATCAAAGTTAATTTCTGTGGATAGCAAGTGTTTTGCTTAGTCAAATCATTTAGTTTGTACACTTGTCAACATTTTTACTCATTTTAACAGGTTTTTTTTAAGTTTTCATAAAAATCAATACAGTATATAGTATAGTATGAAATTTTGTATCGGGTCAAATTATATCATTATGCAAGAAAGAGTTTCAATTTTTAGCTCGACTATTCGATAAGAATAAGTAGAGCTATTGCAGTCACCCGAGCGTCGGCGTCGGCGTAACCACTTATGTTAAAGTTTTTGTAATAGTTCAAATATTTTCAAAGTCCATAGACATATGGCTTTGAAACTTTGCACACTTGTTCACCATCATGACCCCAACCTGTAGACAGGAGGAGGTAACTCTATCAAGCATTTTGACAGAATTATGCCCCTTTTTCGACTTAGAATTTACGTTAAAGTTTTTGTAATAGTTCAAATATTTTCAAAGTCCATTGACATATGGCTTTGAAACTTTGCACACTTGTTCAACATCATGACCCCAACCTGTAAACAGGAGGAGGTAACTCTATCAAGCATTTTGACAGAATTATGCCCCTTTTTCGACTTAGAATTTACGTTAAAGTTTTTGTAATAGTTCAAATATTTTCAAAGTCCATTGACATATGGCTTTGAAACTTTGCACACTTGTTCACCATCATGACCCCAACCTGTAAACAGGAGGAGGTAACTGTATCAAGCATTTTTTTTACTATCAAGCACTAAGAATAGTCGAGCGTTGCTGTCCTACCGACAGCTCTTGTATCCAATATTTGAAATAAAAAAAAATGTTCAAAGAGAAAGCAAGGTTTATACATATGTAAACAAACATCCTATTCATAGTTAAACAAAAAGTGTTCAAATGGAAACAAATTGCCATTCGTAGGTAAACAAACATCTGTTCACAGGTAAACAAAAAATTGTTCAAATAGAAACAAAATTCAGTTTATTGGTAAACAAATGTCTTTTCTTAGGTTATCAGATACCTGTTTATTGGTTAAACAAATATTTGTTAATTTGGATGTAGTTTTAATTATTATTGGTTAATATTGTTAAAAGAACAACTTCAACAATATACATACACCGCTAGCTAGGTTTTCTATAGGTCATGAGAAATTGGAAGATAGTATACATGACAGGCAAAGTGTTGGCAGGGTTTTTTACCATAATTGACTTGTTGTACATAATAGGGAGTCAGTTAATTAACCGTATCAAATGCACAGCCATGTTGTATTTTATGAAAATATTCATGCCTAGGCATATAACAAAAAATTAATTTTTTTATTTGTTTTATTCATTTTTTAGAAAAAATTATGATATTTTTAAGAACTTAATAGTCAATACACATTCCCTATAATAATTTTGTGATTTACTTTAATCAGAAATCTTTTTTGGATAAGTTTTTTGTTTAATGTTTATATGAATTGTTAGGGTTTTTTTATTAGATTTTATTACATAAAAATAAACAAAAATATATTGCATAATTCTGTCCCAAATAACTGTTTGTTTGAATTTGTTGGAACCTTCAAGTATTGTTCAACATTATTTGTTAAAGGGATTCATATTTTTTATTCCATTTGTTCTTTTAAAGTGATCTGTTATTAGAAGGTTGTGATATTTAAAAATGTTCACATTACTGCTTGATTATTTATGAATATGTGTACATGTATGCTTTTATTTATACTACCTATATGGCTCAAAAGATTAAAAGCTATAAAGCATTTAAATACCTGTCTATGTTTTCTTTGCTTAACAATATTATATTACTGGAATGTCTCATCCCCACAATTTACTGTCTTTATGGACATTCTGCAATGTATTTTCTATAGAGTTTCGTCAATTCTGTATCTTCTTTTAGATATTTGACATTTAAATCTTATTTTGATACCATTTGCATTGTCAAACAAACAGGTATAACACCCATGGAGATATTAAGTAATGCCTTATTTTCTATATAATTGTATATTCAATAATGTCCAATGTTATCTCAGAAATGTCCTTTCTCGTTCGATATTCAGCAATTTCCTGCAATGTCATCCCTTTAGATATTCAGCAATTTCAAATAATTACAACTCTTTAGATATTCAGCAATTTCCTGCAATGTCATCCCTTTAGATATTCAGCAATTTCAAATAATTACAACTCTTTAGATATTCAGCAATTTCAAATAATTACATCTCCTTAGATATTCAGAAAATTCCTGCAATGTCATCCCTTTAGATATTCAGCAATTTCAAATACATGTAATTACACCTCTTAAGATATTCAGCAATTTGATTCATTGTCAACTCTTTAGGTATTTAACAATTTCCAGCAGTGTCATCGTAGATATTTAGCAAATTCTGGCAGTGTCATCTGTTGAGATATTTAGCAATTTTAAGCAAAGCCATCTCTCCAGATATTTAACAATTTCCAGCAATTGTATCTATTTAGATATTCAGCAATTTCAAGAAATATGACATTTTTAGATATTCACCATATTTAAACGTCATTTTTTAATTTTACAATTTTTGGTAAATTTTTTTCTCCTAAACTATCACAATTTTTGTAGACATCCTTTCGATATTCCCGCAATCTTTAAAAGTGCCATTCCTTTAGATATAGATCAATTTTATCTCTGAAGAAATGAAGCAATGTCAACTATTTAAATATTCAGCAATGTTAACTCTTTAGATATTCAGCATTGTCATTCTTTTAGATATAGAGCATTGCCATCTCCATAGTTATATCATTGCAACAATGTCCAACAGTGTTATTTTGTTATAAAATGCCATCTTCTCATTCCACATTGACCCAAGTCATCTCCTTTTTAAATATTCCTCATTGTGTATTGAAAATTTACAGCAATGTGATTTTTTTGGTGTCAACTCTATATTTTAATTAAGTAATCAATACTTCACCAATGTCACGATCGTTTTTCAATGTAAAGCAATGTTGCATCTTTTCATATTTTTGACATTCAACATAGCATTGGCCTTCAACATCAATTCCACTTACACATTAACAAGTGAGTCATTATGGCCTTAAGTTGCTTGCCTGAATTTCATTGCTAAATAGAGACAACACTAGTATATATTTATGTTGCAAACAGTGTTTACATGTATTTAACTCTGGAACATTTTAGGGAAATCGAATGTTTGGTTGTCATACAATTGAGTGCAGCCATGATGTGAATATGAATAATATAGTTTTAGCCTGAGAGAGAACCTTTAACTTCAATGACCTCAAACCCTATCCAAGGTTCACACAAATTACCTTTATGCATGTTCCAATTACCTTGCTGGTCTTGGTAATTTAAAGGCAAAAAGTTCAGAATTTAAAACTCAGCACAAAGGGTTTGTACTAAAATGTTGTTTTGTCCAAGTAAAAATAAAATTTACAAATTACAAAGTTGTACCACATTAGATGAATTTTGAAAATATGAACTTGATAGAAAGATTCATCCACGGGTTTAATATAATACTCCCTTTTAGGCGTGTTGTCCAGTGTTTTATTATGCCCAAACATGAACAATTCCCTGCAATATATAAATTTCTAAAGCACTTACATTTTTATATTTGACATTGGCAGTCAATTACATTCAATTTTGACAAAGCTCAACACTGTAAATGAAGATCTCGTTTTACGTGTGCAACTTTCGTTGACATGAATTTAGAAAAAGACATCAACAGACATGGTACAATATTCCACTTATGGACTTTTTTAGGACACAAAAGTCCATTATGTATGAAATAATCTGGCCCTTTTAATAATATAAGGAAGCTCTAATAGTATTACAAGTACTTTACAAGTTTGGTGCAAATCAAATAAAAATGAAAATGCTATCATACAGTTAAGGTTTATCCGCCTGTATGGCCATATCTCTTGGACAGTCAGTTCAAGAAACGAACTTTACTGATGATGCAAGATCTGTGATCAAATAAAAAAATGAAACTGCTATCGTGAACGATGCACGTACGCACGCACAAACAATGGACAACGTGCGATATGACCTTTGCGATCTGGTGAGCTAAGATGCTTGTGTTTACAAACCTGAGTTTGTTTGACATAGATGACAGCCAAAACATGATGGTTTGTTGATGAAGGAACCATGTGTACAATGCTTTTGTGTTGTATGTGGGATACAAGAGCACGAAGAGTTTGCATGAGATTCATTTATATTAGCATGAACTGGCGTATTGGTAGGTAACAACCGTTGATGTTTTTTCTATGTACACATATCATAATTATAGCATCATTTGAGCCGCTTCATGACAAAACCAACATAATGGGTTTGCGACCAGCATGGATCCAGACCAACCTGAGCTACCGCGCAGTCTGATCAGGATCCATGCTGTTCGCTATCAGTTTCTCTACTTGTTATAGGGTTTGTAAGCGAAAAGCATGAATCCTGATCAGACTGCGCGGATGCGCAGGATGGTCTGGATCCATGCTGGTCGCAAACGCATTACGTTGGTTTTGTCGTGACGCGGCTCATTTATTTTTAGCGCATTCGTAGTTAATTTTCTTTGAGTACATATCATATCATATAGCATCATTCATTTTTTTTGGCGCATTCGTAGCTTAAGGTATTTTTCTAATAGAAGCAATAATATCATAAATGAATAATCAACATACATTTTATAAGCAACTCATAATGTGATAATTATAACACTCACGTAAACAACCAAAAAAGGCTTGTCATAATTAAACCAAAACAAGTTTTAACACCAAAAATGACAATACATTTGTATTTAAATGTTCACTTTTTTTAAATCACTCAGTAAAACTGTTGTTGCTAAAATTTACTAGTATTAATAAACTGACCACGTTGGTCTCATCTGCTACCGGTATGCATACAGCTTAATAATCTCGTAATAATCCGTTCCTTTAAGTTAAGTATTGAACCACCTATGTTGTCAATGCGGAGCAAGTTTAAAGTATTGGGAATACACGGACAGTGTAAAAAAATAGGATCAATATAATCAATGTTATAGGTATAGTAATATTTAATAATGTGTATATGCCGTGTTTGAGAGGAAAATACATGCAACAACTTGCGGTCCAGGTATGTTTACTATATTACCGTTTATTAAAGTTAAACTAAATGCAGGAGTATTGCACGCCATTTTACCAAGAAAATAACTGATTAATTGATTAAAAAGAAATTAAGAGTTTGTTCAAATATTTCTGTGATATGTATTAATTAGATCTACGTTTGTTCGCGATATATTCCAAAACGATTTTATATTACTTACTAAACTCTCATAGTATTTTTGCCTTTGTTATCTTGGAACGTGTTTGATAATTCTATCTACTGTTCATATAGGGGTAAGTGTTCTACGAAAATTAAACAAGTCAAAAAATGGTGCAGCCGGTTTAATGTTTGAAACTATTTTAATTAACAATCAATTCATTAGACTTATAAGAAATGCACATTTATTCATTAAATATGTAAGCTAGGATTCATTTGAAACACTGCAATCCTATTGGACAAACAAATATCCAACACTAGAAATGAATTCGATATATTCAATTCTATAGGCGGTGCTTTGTTTTGTACAGAAGAAAGGTCAAGAATGGCAGCCACTGTTGTCGTCGATAAGAAGCTTGCAGTAGATTTTCCTGACGTCACGGAAACCAAATTTAAGTACATAGACAAGTCATTTGTAAAGAAGCACGAAGATGTGTATAACACTAAAAAAGACTTAAAAATATTTGTTGGAAGTGCAGCCAAAGCGTCATTTCTTGGCCACAAAGCAGTGCTCCAAGATGCTCATGAATTCTTTGGTAATTCATTTTGCAAGGAGGGTGAGGAAGGGTCTGAAATTTATTTTAAGGAAATCACAGCTTACGGTTTCACTCCTATTTTTGAATACTTTTACCACGGATATATCTATGTTGACCCAGAGTTATTTACCGAGCTTATTGAGGCTGCATCCTTTTTTAAAATCGAATGGATTCTTGACGTGTGTCGTCACTTTATGCTGCATTTCTACGGAGTCATAAAGTATTCTTATACAATTGAACTGGCAGAGCGATTTGGATTTGAGGGCTTCAAGGAGGAAATGTGTGGGACATTTGGGCTATTTCTAGCAAAGTTGGCAAAAGGTGACGCCCCTTTTAAAGATTATCCCGAAGATCTTCTCTCAGATTTTCTACAAGGCAACTACTACACAGAGGCCCCAGAATTCTTAATTTTACAGGTAAAGCGTAAGACTGTTGCGTTGAGAAATAACATCTATGTTGATTGAACACGCCGTCGTTAATTTATTTAAATACACATTATGCCTCAGAAATGACTTTAATTTTATTTCTCAAAAGCTTTTTATTTTTTGTGGCCTGTTTTAATTTCCAAAACGTTAGTCAATGGGCAATTACCTCACAGTAACCATCTTTTGCTTCTATTACTTTTTGGCAATCAGTATAGTTTTTGTATTGATTTAAAATTTTGTATGAAAGTGAAAATACTACTTTGTTTTCATTTAGCTACTTTTGTGACAAATTATTTCACATTCAGTGCTTCTTTCTTCAAGTGATAAGCTTCTAGTATTCTCTTAAACCATTATTAAATGGTCTTCCCTTTATAAGAGGGACATTTTTTATTCATTTCTAAGGTATAAGGTGCCTTTAAGACCACTCCTGTTACAAACATACAAATAATTAAGGCAAGAAACAGTCATGTTACTCGTGAAAACGTTGGAATTATGTTAGCAATTTTCTTATTTTGATAAGAGTGTAACTTTTAAGTGGTGTTTCTGGTTTACCCGTATTTAAAGATATAGATTGTAGAGTGGCTCAATCGATCTGAAGCAAGTTTAATTTATTACTATATGTGTTTATATGAATGTATATGCTATATGAATTAACAGGTATATAATTATTCGTTCATTTCAGTTTCTTATTAAATGGATGAACTACGACAAGAAGGAAAGAGAGAGGAAAATGTTGTCCTTATTAAGTAACATAAGATATCATATAATGAAACCAGAAAACTTGAACAACATCTCTGAGGACATACTGAGCATGTCAGATATTCGGAAGGAGGTAGAACATAATAACTGTCATTCTATTATTGTAATAAAATCTTCAGGTGAATTTGCGTTTAAACTTTTCGGAATCATATAAAATTATTACACATTTTACAATCGACATTAGAGTCGTTTTCATTACACAAGTGTAATTGAATTTGTGTTCAAATATTTTTACATTAATTTTCATCTTTTAATTGTATAACATGGAGACATTTCAATGAAGTGCCATCTACAGAAACATCTATAATATAATACTTTCTAGATATCAATTGATGTCATTTGCGATACTTTGAGTAACGCTTTCACGTTATGTAATCTGTACATTTATTTAAGCTCAAGAAACATTTTAAAAGTGTCTGCTCAAAATATTGCTGCAGGGAAAACACTTTCGCTCCTATCTGAAAATCTCTCTTGAAAATATTTATTCAGGTAGAAGATGCTAAACTTTATTTGTCGAATGTACCGCAGCAATGCTTGAAGAAAGGGATAAAATACGCGAGTCGTGGGGCAAAGGAAGTTGCAATTGTGTCAGCGTTTCATGACACGAGTGATAGAAGCGAAAGTAATATACTGGCTTACAAGGATCCAAATAATGATGAACCAACGCTCTCTGTAGAAGAACTTGGCCCGTCAGGTACACGATATATCTATATAAATATATACATTAATATTTATTAACTGTTAGATGGTAAATTGTTTCTGTTGCTCTTCTGAGTAATTTAACTGTATGGTTTCACTTTTCGATTAACAAGTACATGTATTTGTGTTCCATTACACATCAATTGACGATACAGATTTGCATAATGTCCTCTCTCGCTGTCTATATATACGTCATATCTTTATACAATTTATATGCGTTATGACTACAAAATACCAATGTAACTTTTATGAATGCTTGAAGTCAGGAGACGGATATTGACAAATACTCTGACTGAGAAACAGGCAGTAATACAAACATATCATGAAGCTCAAAGATAAGAAAATGTACGCAAATAGTGTCAATTTTTCATCAACTGAAGGGAGGTAATAGTAGTATATAAGAGCTTAATATACAGTCTTAGCTACTAGTTTTTTTCCATTTTCCTTAGCTTTAAAAATGTTTCATTATTTTCTGAAGGGTTGAAAGCTGACTACACAACTATGAACCAAGCCTGCATTGGTAATTTTCTCTTCGCTGCTGGTGGTTATGACAAGGCGGGTACAAGCTTATCCTGTGTATACATGTTTGATGCACGAACAAAGAAGTGGACAGAAGTTGCTGGTATGATTCAAGCTAGAGCATCGTTTGCCATGTGCAATTCTAAAGATAGAATTTACGTCATTGGTGGTGTTTGTAAGGAAGCGGATGATGAGAAGTTTCTTTCTACTGTTGAAATGTATGTTCCTGAAGAAAATAAATGGAAGGCGATTACAAGTTTGGAATCCAGCTGTTTTAATCAGGCGGCTGTTTACTGCAGTGATGCTCTATATGTTACCGGGGGAATATTTGATGTAGAACCAATAGCATCCGCCCTCTGCTTGCAAGATGGTTCTTCGAAATGGACAATGTTGCCAAAAATGTCCGTCTGCCGTCAAGGTCACAGTATGACAGAATTTGGCGGGAAGCTCTACGTTTTAGGCGGATACACAGCAAAGCCTAACTCACAAGGTTTAGTAAAAGATTGCGATGTAAATGAAATATTTAACTTAAAAACAAAACAGTGGACAACTATCACTCGTACACCGAAAAGATACGGACATCTTTACCGGCATACGGCAATCATGCAGAACAAAATATACTTTCTGTGTAACATTGATTCAGATGTATACCTTAATAGCTTTGACATGGAATCCAACGAATTTATCACAGGGGCATTGATTGGCAGGGGAGTTCACAAAGTAGGCGTGCTTCAAGTGGCTTACCCACCAACTTGCCTGATAACACCCCTGCCTTAATACGAAATGATTTGTACATACATCTGTAAAATTAATAACCATTACAATCCTATAATGACTGAAAACGTACAAGTTGTGGATGCCCGATACTTGTGCGCGATACATTCTCATGATGTAGAAAACATTTGCATAAAATTATTTCAAAATACGCCCATATATGACATTTATTGCCTGGACACAAAAATGTGGACTTACGGACGCTGCAAAAATTAAACACCTTCGCAATATCGGGGTGGTGGGGGATGAAAAAAGGAACTTAGTAAATATCGGCATGTTGTATACATTAACTTTTGAATTATACAGAATCATTGTACCTTTAATAGATTTATGCTAAATAAACTGTACACTCAGTCTTTCCTTGTAATACATGTTTTTTGGATAGACATTTCATTATCAACATCACACTAGGATTAATTTCTGACAAATGTAACAAAGCCAGGTAAAGCAAATAGAATTCACCTTTGACCTGGTTCATCTCCTGTGTTAGCATTAAAAAAGTAAGGATGCCTGACTATTGACTGACTGATACAGTATGCTATAGACGAAGCACCAATATTTTGAATATTTAAAATGCCTTTTAACAGTAACATTGGCCTAAATAACTAGAACTGCCAATGTCATGGCGTGAATACCCCCGCATACGGCTGTGAGGTCATTTAGAGCTCAAGACAAATCTGAAGGTAGTAAGGCAGTGCATTGCTACATGTTCTAGTGGCAAATATCAAAGTGACCTTGACCTTTGACCAAGTGACCTAAAAATCAATAGCGGTCATCTAATGGTCAAGACTAACCTCCATGCCAAATATGAAGACTATGGATCAAGGGATTCTTAATATATTTGGCGGACAAGTTTTTTTTTAGTCAATACCCTTCTGACCTTGACCTTTGACCTCAAAATCAATAGGGGTCATCTTCTAGTCATAGCCAACCTCAATACCACTTATGCAGTCTGATGACCAAAGCATTCTTAAAACAATTTAGCAGACAAAGGAACTTAAGGCTGTGACCTTTCACTCAGTCACTTCAAAATCAATAGGGGCCATTTTACAATCATGACTTACCTCCATGCCAAATGTAAAGACTGTAAGTCAAAGGATTCTTCAGTTATTCGGCGGACAAGCTGTTTTCGTTAAGGCCCTTCTGACCTTGACCTTTGACCTAAAAATTAAGGGGAGTCGTCTAGTAGTCATAGCCAACTTCAATACCAAATATGAAGACTGTTGACCAAAGAATTGTTAAGCAATTGAGCGGACAAGCTTTTAGAACTTAAGGCCCTGTCACCTTGACCCTTAACCCAGTGACATCAAAATCAAAAGGAATCACCAAATGGTCATGACCAACCTCCATGCCAAATATGAAGACTTTGGGTCAAAGGATTCTTACGTTATTCGTTGTACAAGCTTTTTGAAGTTAATACCCCTGTGTCCTCGACTTTTGACTCAGTGACCTCAAAAGCATTGGGGTCATCTAATGGTCATGACAAACGTCTATGCAAAATATGAAGAGTGTGGGTCAAAGTATTCTTAAGTCATTGGGCGGACAAGCTTCTATCTAGTCAAGGCCCTTCATCTACTAGTCATAGCCAACATCAGTACCACATATGCAGACTGGTGACCAAAGCATTCTTAAGCAATTTAGCGGACAAGTTTTTGAAGTTAATAGCAATGTCCTTGAACTTTGACTCAGTGACCTCAAAATCATAGGGGTCATCTAATGGTCATGACTAGCCTCCAGACCAAATATGAAGACTGTAGGTCAAAGAATTCTAAATTTATTAAGCAGATAATTTTTTTAAGTCAATGCCCCTCAAGGACCTTCGACCTCAAAATTTATAGGGGTCATCTACTAGTCATGACCAATCTCATTACAAAATATGAAGACTGTGTGCCAAAGGATTATTAAGTTAGTGCTAAAGGATTATTAAGTTATTTGGCGGACAAGGAAAATCTGACTGATGGCCAGATGGCCAGGCTGATTCCAGTATACCTCCCTTACAACTTTGTTGTGCGGGGATATAATAAACAGGAGTCTTATGATCACAACAATGCATATCTAAATATGCAGTTTAGCAATACTCCAATTAATAACAATCTCTAAACATCAAGGTGTTTTGTAGATTCAGTGCTCTAGTAAACCTGCAATCAACAGATGCACAACCAATATGTAAAACAGGAGCTGAATGAAACATTCAAAAATTGTCCTTCAAAAATGTGGAAAACACGTAAAACAAATAACTGCATAAAAAGAAAACAAACAAATTTGGTATATAAATTTATTGCAAAAACAGCTCAGTTTCATTTCTTATGAAGTCAAAGGTTTATCATGCTTTACTCAACATCATAGCTTAGCTTATATTGCTAAAGCAGCACTAAGTCTTTTCATTACCATCAGTTTGTCACACGATATTTAACCATTACAACCATGAAATTCAAATAAGCTTAATTTTCTGAGATAAAAACATGAGTTTTTAATTTTATGAAAATATACACAACAATGGTAAATAATGAACTAATAAGACCCATACCTATTGAAAAATAAAATTAAATCTCTTAGTCAGATTTGAACCACTTTCTTTAAAAAGAAAATAAAACACTTCACAGTCACATGGTAATTTCAAAGTGACAAAAATGTGTAAAGTAATTTTTATTAGTGTAAAATTAAATGTGTCTTCCACTACATAATCAAGACTAGAAATTAATTTTCAGTTTCTGAAATAAAGAGTAATTTAATATGGTGCTGAAGTTGATATATTTATCAAGAGGTTGCTTATAATGCAAAGATTAAAGCTACTAGTCAAGTCCACAAATGGTAAGATAAGTTCTGGTTTCTGTATTTACTCAACCATAGGACTGAGTTTTATACACATATTCAGTCTTTTAATAACCTTTTTATAACCTGTTTTGCATTCTAAGTTGACCTTCTGACTTACACTCTTTAGAAAGTATAGGAAGGTTAATTCTCACTAACTTAGGAACCTCTTAGAAATAAAGATGACCTTTCAGGACAGTATAAGTCAAAAACTTAATTTGAAAGTAAAAATTTGACCCCCTGCCTTATAAGCAGCATGTCTTATATACAAATAAATACAATATTTGAAAAAAAAATAATATTGATGTACTTTCTCTTTGGGCTCCAGGCTTTACCCATTAGCTATTGTATATACTCATATACCAATTCGCTTGTACACTTTTGTACCACTTTGTCATTTTCCAGGTAACACAGGTGTTCAAAATTCAGAATTTTGAGACAGAAATTAAAAAAATTCACCACAGAAATGTGGACTTAAAGCTTTAACATGGGTACAGCAATAAAATCACAAAAAAAACTCTCAACAGCTTAAAGCAGTTTTCTAATGCATTCAAATAATGGGGGGAAAATGTGCAGTTCCAGGCACAAACCAAAAGGGGTCAGAGGGTGCATATTTAAAATAGAGACTCACTTAGAATGGTGTTGAGACCCTCACAGTTACTGTAATTATTACAATCATATGAGAATATCAAAGGGGAGTAAAAATATTTAAGGCACAACTTATTCTGCAGCACAAAAAAATAACAATTTAGTAACAAAAAAGTGAACATATACATGTTTTTAAAATTATTTTTACAAGAACAGGAAATAAGTACACATATTGACATCTGAATTCGACACAAAGACTCTAGGTTTCTAATTTCCTGGTTACAAAATACTTCTTAAAATCAAAACACAAAATGTTGTCTTGTATAACAATGGTTTTATCTGTGAACTCTTATGCCACACTAAATATCTAACATGGATTTGTCCATACTACAATTTGGACAAAACCATTTTTAATTTTTAGGTAAAATTTCATTTTAAAATTATTCAAAGACTGATTAGCAAAAAGAGCAGACCATGATCAGACGTCATGTATGTGCTGGATCTTGGTCTGGACTGGTTGTATATGTAGAATCCGTGTCTGACAGAAGGCTTCATGTTTTAAATATGATACCGCAATTTTCAAATGAAAGTTAAACAATTTTGCGTTTGAAAATAATTAATTTCAAACATGATCTCTCTTAAACATGTACTTCAGACGTCCTTCTTTTATTTGTTTATAGGAATACAAAGACATTTTGTTTAATAGAAATATATATTATAGAACAAGTGCAATTTTGAATTACAGATGTTTTGAAAAATTACTTGTCAATTTGAGTGCTTACTTTCTACTGATTTTGCTCATTTTTGTTCTCTACCTAAATCAAGGGTTAAAGGACAATTCATTTTTCTGAAAGGCAGTTAGCATTTATAGTTACAAAAAGGCAACCTTAAATGAACACATGAATGTTTATTATTTTGCCCTTTGAGGACTATATGTGTAAGCAAAATTGGGAAATTCATCAATATTAAAGATATATAAAATTGGAAAAATGCGTTCGAACAAAAGATAAGTTGTTAACTTTCAAATTTTTTTTATAACATTAAGGAAAAATGAATTTTTAAACATATTTTACAATATAAAAAATGTGTATTGACTGAAAGCACCACCTGATAAGCTGTCACTAACAATATTTATACAGAAGTGTTAGATAGTAGAATTTCTCATAAAAATAACTGTTTCCCTGATTGGCAAATACATGTACCAAGTAGACAGGGGAAATGACCTAAACCAAAAAATCTAAGAGCGCTTAGAAAAGCTTAAGCTTCAAATTGTTCAAAATGTTTTACATGAAAAAATATGATGATTGGCAAATTAAAACTAACACAGTCTATCAAACTATCACTAACCATGCATAGATACATTTATATAAGGGATATACAATGTTACATTATATATTAAATACATGAGAACTCCATGCAGATTATAGCTTTGATACTGGCAGTTTACATCTATGTACAAAATGCCAACAAAAATAATACAACTTACAATGTAAACATTGTTTAATACATAATCTTTTACAATGTGATAGTGCACAAATCAAGGATTGTAAAAGCAAGAAAAAACTGGTATATTACCAGGAATCCCTACAACCTGTGTAATGGACTTGCCCGGGTTTAAATTTGGATCAATCCATTATCAATTTAAGGTAATACAAATGTAAATATCAAAATATTCCATGAAAAAATTCAGCTGTAATATAGACCTTTTAGTCTGACAGGCATACTGGCTGGCCAGGCTTCAACCTGGTATTCTAAGCAAATTATTATCATGGCTAAGTTCCAGCATTCATAAAATTGGAGAACAAGTTAACAAGTTACTCAAATGGTGTACATGTATTTACCCATACAAATCAACAAAAACAACAAAGCAATCTTTCAGAATTGCTATTAGGATAAATTTTATTTTACTTGTTTTGTTGAGTTTTCAGTCGCACCAACACTGTTAAGACCATAAT